GAAGCCAGTCCCAGAAGAAAATTAGCCTAAATATAAAATTTATCTGTTGGTTCAGCGGTGTTTTCCAAATGCATCCCCTTTACTGATCCACACAAAATCAAAGACCACGGTGTCTCCTTCCCTAGTTGAAGTACTGGCAGAAATTTGGAACGAAGATGAGAAATAAATGCCAAAGAAGGAATGATGCTGAAATCTGATTACTCAGTATTCCCTCGTAGAAAGATAAATGCTTCTTCTGAAACGCGGCAGTCTGTGCGGCCTCTTGACTAAGACCGAGGTTTTAAAATGAACGGTTTATCCTGCTGTTCAATCCGTTGAGAGCTTGAAGGCCGAAGGGGGGAAGCTTTTAAGGCCCCAGGGTTCTCCCGTTGGGAGGCAGGCTAGGGAGGCTTCCAGGACGCGAGCTAGTGGAGGAGAAATCCAGAATCATTGTAAATATTCATGTCTGGTGGTGGGGGAGGGAGGTGTGCCCCATCCCTGGCCTCTTTCAGCTGCATCCACTCCCCTCAGTGGTGGTGGGGGGCACAGCGCCGTCCGACCGTTCTTGGACAAAGGTGATCTCCCCACATTATTTTGTTTTCCAGCCTCCACTCAAGAAATCTTTTCCTAGGCTCTGCAGGGAAGGGACTGGCTCTGGGTGTTCCCCCCACCTCCCCTTGCTTTTCTCTTCTTTCGTTTCCTAAAAGAGCATAAATAATTAAAGTTTGGCAGGGAGGAAAAGCTTTCTTGCAGAACTGTAGTGGTAATAAACGAAATGACTCAGAATCCCTTCCCCAGTCAGCTTTTACGAGAGCTGCCAGACAGTGTCTGTTCACGTTCTCCAGATACCAGGGGCGCCCTGACAAAGTTAAGGTCAAGTTAGTGTCTTATCTTGGGTGGCTCAAAATTACCGCAGCGCGTCTACGCGCTGCGCAGAAAGCTGTCGTTCTCGGAGCTGCTGGCCAGCCCCGAAGGCCCTGTGTGCTCCCTGTGTTTCGGGTAGGACTGCGTAAGCAAGGACAAGGACACAACGCCCGGGTCTTCACGGTAGGTTCTCTGGCGGAACGCGAGGGTCCAAAGGCGGTGGATTTTCCTGGTTTTTCGGGGGTGAGGACCAAGGTAGAGAGCTGGGGCTAAACAGTAAAGCGACCGCCAGGAATGTATGGACTGGGTGCTGTGTGGGGGCGACTTGCACGTTAAGGCGTGTGGGGGGGCGTCGCCCCTTCCCCAATGCGCCAGCGCGCCGCTGCAGATGGCGCACCCTCCCCTGCCTAAGAACGGCTCCCGCCGGAGCTGCCGTCGCCATGTCGTTGAACTTGAATGGTTCGTCCTTTCCATTTCCCTTTTTGGCGGCCAGCCGACTTCACTTTGGGGGTAACGACGTGCCTTGCAAGCCAGTCGGTGGGGTGAGCAGAGGGAAGATGCGGAAATTTATTTTTTTGCATCCCAAGATATGCGAAGATCAGGGGCCCCGCCGCTGCCTTCCGTCCTAGGCGACCCCAGGAACAGTGTATAGTGTCTGGGGAGCCATTTTAAGAGACAGATCCAGGGGCGTCAACCAAGAGTCAGAAAGGGGGAGACTTGGGACTAGGATGGAGATAGGGAGACAGATAAAAATGGGGGGGGGGGCTCTGGGCTGGGAGAATGGTGCCAGCAGGAATCTAGGCGGGGGTGGAAGATGCAGGGAGGGGTCACATAGGACACACAGCTAGGTGAGAGAAAGCTTGGTGAGCTTCAGCCCTCACTGCCACAGACCTGTTTGTGCAATTGTGGAGGGGAGGGAAGCTGCCGAGGGAGGGGGCGGAGGAAAGAGAGGAATGGAGAAAGGAGGGAGGAGAAAAAGAGGAAGGGGCAGCATCGACTAGAAAATAGCTATTAACTTAGATCACCCGCCTTTTCTATGTCAGTCGGCTTGGTGCGCAGAAAGCGCTGGACCCGAACTGCAGCGGCCTGGGGAAGGGAGGGAACCAGCACACAGCCAGAGCTACCTAGCCAGGGGACAGGGCTGAAGCCCGGCCTCTGTGTGTGTGTGGGGGGGGGGGCGTTCCTGGAGAGAGGATTACTGAGGAACCAGTTGGGCTGCTGCCTTTGGTGCTGGGATTTGGTTTTTGGGGAAAGGCTAAGGGCCTGGTAAGCTGGAAGTGGGAGCCCAGGCCTCTTCTGGACTCCAGGACTCGGAGGGTTGCTGCAGCCCAAAGAGAGCGAGGCCTTGAAGCAAGTGGATGGGGGCCTGAAAAGTCTAAGTCGGAGCCAGGTGATGTGATAGACTCCGGCGGGGATGGAGGGAGAGGCAGACGCTACCGACAGTCCCCGGAGAGGCAATCGACCTCCCAGGGAGTTGTGACCATCAAACCCAAAGGCTCCAGAGGAGTCTTGAGGGGTGCTCAGGCCTTAGTGGGGCTCCAATACAGTGAAAGGTTGGTTGGAGGGACCTGAACATTGAAGGGGGTGAGGGCTGGAGCACCAAGGGCTCGTCTGGGCGCTGAGTAGGAAGGGCCCTTGTGCCGTGAGGGTAGGGCTTCACTTCCTTTTGTTCATCAGGCCCCCGAGCTTTAAGGAAAGCGAGAAAGCCGGGACCTCTGGGTGTCTAAGTTGGCGGGGAAGAGGAGAGAGAGGGAGGGAGAGAGAGAGAGAGAGAGAGAGAGAGAGAGAGAGAGAGAGAGGGGGAGGGAGAGAGAGAGAGAGAGAGAGAGAGAGAGAGAGAGAGAGAGAGGAGGAGGAAGAGTCTAAAGAGGATGAGGGTACTGAAAAAGACTGGGAAAGAGAGAAAGCAGAAAACGGGTCGAGACGGAGACGAAAGGAAAAAAAGAGGAAGACAGGAGAGAGAAAGGAGACAAGTGAAGATTGAGAAAGAAAGGAGGGACGAGAACGGAGCGGAAAATCTGGAAGAGAAAGGGTCGAGTAGGCACCGAGGCCCAGGCCAAGGCTAGCGCTCGGGAGTCGTTTTTCCAGGATCTGAACACTTGTCCTTGGTGTCAGAACCCTAGAGAGTCAAATCTCTACCAGCCGGAACGCACTCCTCTGAGAAATATGTAAATCAGGGCTCTCAGCGCCCTGGAGAGTGTCGCAATTACGCCCCTTGAACAAGAAGCAACAAGCTCCCAGCCGGTGAGCTACAGAGGGTGGCTGCGTCGCGGGGGAGGGAGCGGTTGCAGGAAAGGTGGGGGGTGGGAACCTCACACCCTCACACCTAGTCCCCAGTGCCAGGGCCGGCCCCCCCCCCACCTCTCTCCGCTGCTCTCCCTTCCCCCTTCCTCCCCCTCCTTTCTCCCTCCCTCCTCCTCCCCTCCGGCCTAGGCCCGGGTACTTAAAGCAGCGCGGGCGGGCTAAGGCGGGCGGGCGGCCCAGTCCGGTGGCAGCAGATGCGCCCAGCGGTGGCAGCCGCCGGCGGCGCGCAGGTGACCGGCCTGCAGCGCAGCCTGGTCAGGGAGTGCCCTGGGAGAGTTGGCAGGAGCTGGAGGCCGATCCGCCCCCAGCGTGCGCGCGTCTCGGCGCCAGGAGCCGTCCCGGGGCGTGTTGGCGAGTGCTGATATAGATATAAGGACATTTCTCTCCATGGCGTCACGTGACATAATTACCACCAGAATCAATCAAGATGAATTGCACGTCAGCGCCCGGTGGGGATTTTTGCTTAGTTGATCCTGGCCCAAGCCTCTTGTGCAATCGATGGCTCAGGTTGGAGGCGCGGGGAGCGGCCCGAGGCTTGCCGGCGTGCACGCCGCGCAGCCATGAACGACTTTGACGAGTGCGGCCCGAGCGCAGCCAGCATGTACCTGCCGGGCTGCGCCTACTACGTGGCCCCGTCGGACTTCGCCAGCAAGCCGTCGTTCCTTTCGCAGCCGTCCTCCTGCCAGATGACTTTCCCTTACTCGTCCAACCTGGCGCCGCACGTCCAGCCCGTGCGGGAGGTAGCCTTTCGCGACTACGGCCTGGAGCGCGCCAAGTGGCCATACCGAGGCGGCGGCGGTGGCGGCGCGGGGGGCGGCGGCGGGGGCGGCCCCGGCGGGGGTGGCGGTGGCTCCGGGGGATACGCTCCCTACTACGCCGCGGCGGCGGCGGCAGCGGCGGCGGCAGCAGCGGCCGAGGAAGCGGCCATGCAGCGGGATCTGCTCCCGCCAGGCGGCCGCCGGCCAGACGTGCTTTTCAAGGCTCCCGAGCCGGTGTGTGGCGCTCCCGGGCCGCCGCACGGTCCCGCGACAGCCGCCTCCAACTTCTACAGCGCCGTGGGTCGCAACGGCATCCTGCCCCAGGGCTTTGATCAGTTCTACGAGGCAGCGCCAGGTCCCCCCTTCGCCGGCCCGCAGCCCCAGCCTGCGCCCGCGCCGCCGCAGCCCGAGGGCGCTGCTGACAAGGGCGACCCCAAGGCCGGAGCTGGTGGTGATGGGGGCAGTCCCTGCGCCAAGGCGACTCCCGGTCCGGAGCCTAAGGGGGCCGCTGAAGGCGGCGGTGGCGAAGTCGAGGGCCCCCCAGGGGAGGCGGGGGCCGAGAAGAGCGGCGGCACAGGTAGGCGCCGGGCGCGGGCCGAGGGGCTGGCCCGGGGCGGTGGCGGGGGAGGAGGGGTGCGGCGGGGACCTCCCTCTGCTTGCGCCGTTTTATGTGCTACTTTATAAGCATTTGAGGGGGTTTATACATCCTATAAGATTTCCCGGGTCGTTGTAAAGCGTGTTTATGATAGGAAACCAATTTAGGTGGGCTTAAGGTAGACTTCGAAGAGGACATTAATCGCTGTACAGAGCTTTCCCTCTATTTGTGTGTGTGTGTGTGTGTGTGTGTGTGTGTGTGTGCGCGCGCGCGCGCGGGGGGGGGTGTTGAGGACCTTAGAGAGGAGAAGGACGTTTGGAGCCAATTGGTGAGTGGGAACAGGGGAGTCTCCTGCCTTTCAGGGAGGGGATAGGTGATCTTCAAACTGGACTTAATCCAAGTGTCTGGCTGACGCTCAGCTTGGAGTTGAGCAGATGCCCCCGGTGGGCGCGTTCCAGTCTCTCTTCCCTCGGGTTCCAATTCAGAGTCTGCCTTGCCCTCTTTTTCCTATCTCAATACCAGGTTGAAGTTGTGTGTGTGTGTGTGTGTGTGTGTGTGGTATGTGTGTGGTGTGCGTATGTGGTGTGTGTGTCCGGGAGTGAACACATGTCCACGCCCGCACTCTCCTGTGCCCGCCCATATATCATCCCCCACGAAGCAGGCAGGGCCTTTCAACGGCGGCAAGGGACGTCCCTAACCCGGCCAAGGCCTGGCCCTAGCTCAGTGGCCAGAGCGGGTGGGGGCAAGTAGCAGACTTTCTCACCCCTTGGTCTCTTTGCCTTGCAGTGGCCCCCCAGAGGTCCCGGAAAAAGCGCTGTCCCTACACCAAGTACCAGATTCGCGAACTGGAACGCGAGTTTTTCTTTAATGTATACATAAACAAAGAGAAAAGACTTCAACTCTCTCGGATGCTCAACCTCACTGACCGGCAAGTCAAAATCTGGTTCCAGAATCGCAGGATGAAAGAAAAGAAACTGAACAGAGACCGTTTGCAGTATTTCACTGGAAACCCCTTATTTTGAGAGCTCCAAGAAGCGCCCCCTCCCCAGAGCCCCATTCACCCACCTCCTCCCCACCAGCCTGCCCTCCGCAGGCCCAATGTCCTTGGGTTCAATGACGCCTCTTCTCTGTGGAACTTCACGATTCCTTCTCGCGGTCAACTCGGGACCTCCCAGCGACCACTGCAGCCTGAGGACGAGGCCGGGGACTTGGCCGAGCGGATCCTAATAAGGGGAAAATGGTAAATGCAATTGTCCCTTTACAATTTTACCGCCAATGTGCTCTTGTCCCTCCTCTCCTGGTGGATGGCGGGATCTATAGGGAGTTAGGCCATGGGGCTGGAAGGAGTGGTGTTTGTGTTGAGTCTAAGAAATCCCTTTCTTCCCCCTCAGTGAACACAGATTATTTAAACTCTGGGAAATGTACCTTTGGGCATGAGTCACTGTCTTTTTGTGTGTGAATAAATGGTTTCTAGCAAAATGGAGGTTATAGCTTCAATACACTGCATGGATTTTTACTGTTTGACAAAGTTTAATAGCTTCCCAGGTTATCTTAGTGACCAGAACCCTGTTCCCCATGCAACTGAATACCCACTGGAGCACTTTTTATTCTCTCTGTGATAGGAGTTGTTCCTTCACACCCCCTGTAGGCTACACTGGCTTTAAAATGTACTGTTACATTTCTATGTTACATTTCTGAATTGGCAATGAGATCCAGCAATGCTGGTTGCCTTTTTTCCCCCAGGCTACAAGGTTTAAGCAGTAGGAGTCTGAGGAGCAAATTCTCACCCCATCCCCACCGCTAGTCTAATGAACTTGGAATTTTTGTAAAGACAAAAAAAAAAAAATCCCAAAATGTTAAATTAATTTGAAGATCCAAATTATCTCTTAAGAAGGTCAAAGAGCCAGAGTTCCTTAAAAGAAGAAAAACCCTCTGTGTGAGGCGGGAAGTTTTGTTAAAAGGGAGCTAAGAGGTACAGGGAACATGGGGTCCTTCGCTGTCACAGTGAGCTTGAAGCAGAGAATGTAAACCCCCCCCCCTCAGCTAAGGCCAGGGCTGCTCACCTGCAGCTCACCACATTTATCGCTTTAAGTTAAAGAATGTGGTGAGGGTTGCACAGCACTTTATGTCACAGGACCAAGCCAGGCTGTTTACAAAACCTTGAACTGTCTAGACAACACCATAAAAGCCAAAGTTCTAAACAGCTTAATTGGGTTCTATTATACACCTTCTGGTGGGCCCAAAAGAGATTTCCGCACTGTGCAATAAACTGGAGAAGTGAGAAAAGCTTCTCCTTCTCTCAAAAGAGTGCAGTGGGTCTTATGACTCTCAACCTCTCAGAAACCCAAAGGCAAAATATAAATCCCAAAGGTGCACAGCACCCCATGCCTCACCTGAGGAAGTGTGCTTTTTGAATTATAATTTTTTTAATTGCTGAAGCTTTTGGGGGGTAAAGAAAAACATAAGTGCATAAGTGTATGCCTTTGAACTTCCAAATGTCAAGGTCATCACCTTTAACCTCTCTGAATAATTAGGCGCCTTAAAGTTCTTCTGTGATTTCCAACCACCACCCACTCTCATAATACATGCTCACACATCCAGACCCTTGCCCATATTTATGACTATATAGCATCATACTGGGAGTTCACCATAAATCTAAGAAAATTCCTAATTTCAGGATCAATAACCTTAATTTCCCCCCAAACACTAGAATAATTCAATAACAATTGACTTCTTAGGGAAAAAAATAAAAACACTTGTTATATCAAAATACCTATGAACTATTAGTAGAATTAGGATGTACTGAGAATTTGGGGTGCTCTTAGGAAGAGTTTCTCTTTGCTGTAATGAAGAACCGCAGTTTTTTAAAAGGCGGTTGAGAGAGTAAGTTCTCATCAGACTTACACCAACCCTTAGCATTTGAAAGCAATTTGCCACCTTGTTAAATAAATTCTGGCACTCTCTAAGATATAGAATAAGATAAAATATATTTGTACTGTTTTTAACACATTTTTCAATTTTTGATAAAGGATGCAATAGAAAAAAAAGCAGATAATCAAATTATTTCGCCCAGAAAAGGATTGTTTTGTTTACAATCTGAGCAGTGGTTTACATGTAAATGCCCTAATAGTAAGATATTCCTGGGAGATTAAAACCGGTTGGGTTTTTTCTTCATCTTTTTTCTTTTAACTGCGGTTAAATGAGCAAGCTGTGTGCCAGCCAGCACACACCAGGCGAACGCGAGAAATACTATTTTCCGTTTGCAAGAACCTCTACAGCCACACGAGGGCGCGCTCACGTTCCAAAAACCTTATTTGCCAAGAGCCTGCGGTACCTTATTTTCCAATACTAGACTCTAATAAGGGATCTTGGCCCACCCGCTAGAAACAGTCAGCAGTTAAGGTGTTTCTGTCTCCTTGTTCTAAGCAGCCATGATTGCGAGAAGTGGTAGAGAGACAGAGAAAAAGAAGCCATCAGTCTTCTGAAATAGGGGATCCCCTAATCCGTTGTCTCCTCAAAGATAAAGCCGCTGCAAAAAAAAAAAAAAAAATACTTTGGCATATAACCGTATGGTGTTGAGAAGATATTTTTAAAAGACAAATATCTGTGGTCTGAAATACGTCATAGCCACTGCGAGTTAATTAAATCGGGGAATATCTATTTTCATGTTGGTTTAAGTGTGGCGAGTGGTGACAAACGTAAGGTCCCTCCCATCTCCCCAAAACCGCACGCGTCTTGTGAGCTTTCAAACGGCTGGGATGATTAAAAGGCTTTTGTTTAAAACAGATTAGGGCGTTGGCAACTTAGCTGAGTGTGTGCTTAGAAAAAAAAAAAATGAAACTCCATGAGGACCGCGGGCGTCGTTCTGGTCTGAAGGTTCCAGTCTATGTGCATGGCTTGGTGCTACCCCTGACTACCCAAGGGACAGAGAGGGCTAGAAGCTGGGGTGCGGGTGCCAGACTGGACTGATGCGGTTTCTGGAGATAGTAGACTCTTTGCGAGGACGTTTGGATTTCAAAGTGTTGTGAATGGGGATGCATTTGAAGTAACCTGGCGTTGTACTTGACGGAATCCAGGCCACCTTTCCGGGTTGCCCGCCGACCTTGAGGTGCGCAGTTTGCTTTGGGCACAAGCTCTCATAAACGGTTAAAATCGCCCCTGAGATTCACTGTCCTTCCAAAGCCCTGGGCATTGGGAAATGTCTGTGTCCCCTCCGCTTGCATCCTTTTTTGCGGTCCAAAAGTGTGAAGATGGGGCTCCCGGGCGTGGGCGGCTCAAAGGGAGGATGGCGGATCCCTTTCACCCCCTAAGTTCTTTGAGAAGAGCCTGTAGGCCCTGGAATTTGCACTGACCTCTCTCCCCCCCCCCCCCCATTCGCCAGACCTCAGGCTTTAGGGTCCTCCTGTCCGCTAGTTCTCCAGGCCTCCAGGAGTTGGCTTTGGTTAGAGGGAAGCTGGGGCGCCGTGACTCCCCGGCTAGGCGCCAGCGAGAGGCGTGGGTGTTCCCCGCGCAGATACCCGGCTCCTCCTGTCCTGCTGCCGGTACGGGTTAGCTCTTTTAGAGCGTCCTTTCTTAGGGCCTAACCCGGGTTTTAGTCTATGTGGGGTGAAACCTCCCTCCCCAAATGTCGTTGTGTTCCTTTGTAGGCGGCCCCATCCACCGCGCATCTGGCTGTGCGGTGGCCCCTTGGCCTTGGCTGGCGGCCGCCGCCGGCAGACCACGGCTTGCTGAGCGGTCTGCAGTGTCATTTCTCCCGGCAGCGCCCGCCCAACGTGGGCCTAATACAGGCCAGGGGATGGGACCAGGAACTTCGGGGGCTGAAAACCTCCCCTTCTTGAGCTAGGGTGCGTGGAACTCCTTGCCGGCCACCGATCTGGAGGCGCCGAGTTCTCAGGTTCAGAAGTAGAGAGAAAATGCGCCAAGTAGGAGTCTTTTGTGTCTGTAAATAGAAGGAGGCTCGGCCCTTCTCGATCCCTTTCGGTCATCTCTGTAGACCCCTTTACTGAGTCGGTAGTAGTCTCCCGGTTGCCCCTTCGATTTCTTTTCCCCTTGGTGCGATGGTACACAGTGCAACCCAGAGGGGCGTCCTGGGGAGGCAGCTTTTAATTTGTCCCTATCCATCCTATCTCTAAAGAGTGACAGAGGCGGCTCATAGGTCTAATTTAGGGAGACTCTAGGAGCCCTTAGGTCCTCTTAGGCCCAGAGCCTCCACCCCACGCTCCCGAAGAAGACAAGAAAGTGCAAATGCAAACCAGTTTATTATGATGATGATTATTAATTATTACAAATGCTAATTTCTTGCTAAGGCGACCTTTCCAGTTTTCTCTGGAAAGAACTGTGCCAGGGCGACAAGCATCTTGTGACAAATATGGGTCTACATCTCCTTTACGATGCAATATTGACTTATTATTAATGCTAACTGCTCTGGATGATCTAAAGATGATTTTTTTAAATACCAGCCACTACATTAAACACTGAGCAAAATAAAAGTTGCCCTTAAAGCTACTGTCTTTTCCTTCCGTTTGCTTTGTGTCGGTTCTAAGGTCTTAAGGCACAGTTTCTGTCCTCACTTATAGTATTTTCATTTTGCTCAAGTATTTAAATTCTATAAATCTAACATATTGACAAATTTGCCTCTGAGGACTCAGTCTGAAGGTAGAAATTCAAAAGAGGAAAAAATAGAATTTTGAGAGAATAGATTGCATTTTTAAATTAACATACACATTTTTCCTGTCTTTGAGTGGAGATCTATTTAAACCCTAATCCAATACGAGGTGACTTTGAGCTTGAAGCATTAGGGGCACTGAAACAGAAAGACCCCCACACAGAGCAGGCAGAGCTGTCCCTACAACTTCGCTGAAGACTTACCAGTTCAGGAAGGAATTGCTTGTTTTTAGACTGGGTGTTTTCTTCGTGTATAAATAAAGATTATGAAAGGGCATTTGATGGGCATAAAATTCCTGATTAGATCGAACAGCCCTTCCTTGCTTGGGATTAGAAAAAATTGGGCAGTCGAATTCTGGGCAGCTCTCCTGGCCGAGATACAAGGCAACACAATGCTAAAGCGCCAAGCTGGCGTCAGGGCGTCAGGGAGGGCAGCGGGCACTTTGTCCAGCCCTGGGCACGTTTAGCTGTAGCTCAGAATTTGATCGCCACAATGTAAATAAAAAGGGAAATTTTGAGGCGCTAATCAGTGGCTGTTAGGTTTGATCAGGATCTTAGCAACCTAGAGGCAAATGTTTCAATTTTTTCCCTTCTGCTATGCCTTACTTAACACCTCACACCCCTCCCCAGCTTAAACATAGCCACCCCAGTGGAAAGGTAACGTTTAAATCTCGGCTTCACCACCGGGGTGCAGCAGCCAGAGCAGTTGGAGGCGCCAGGCTTTTAACCTGACAATGATGTTGTATTTGAACAGCTGCGTAAAGGTTTAAAAGGTCTGTCTCATTGCCACCGTGGAGTTTTTTAAAAGGGGTTATTGTTTGGGCGAGGGCACTGAGAGGGGGCTAGCCAATCGGTCCCAAGGCCGAAAATAACGTTCAACGCCTGTTTTCTTCAGGCCAGGAGAAATTCCTTTAGGGGAGGGAGGGGACAAAGGACTTTTTTGGGGGGGAGTGAAATGTTTTTGTGAAGGAGCAACTAGGTTTCCCCAGAACTGGCTTAGGCGTCTTAAGGAGCATCGAACCCCAAAGAAAGATCTGTTGAGGTGGAAACCAGATTTATCCACAAGTTCAGTCTCTGGGCCTGAAATCCAAGGCCAGTCCATTCCTGGGTGAGTGGGAAAGAAGAGAACACAGATGTCTCCTCGGACTGAGAACTGGTTCACGGTCACAGTTTCCGGGTCCGTTTTACTTTCTTGAAGGGGCCCCGGAAGGCCGAAGGACAGCTCCCACACACAGGCAGGGCCCCTGGTCCAGGGCAAGTCTTTGGAAATCAAGGTTAAAGTTCCCGCTGCTGTCCTTAGGCCCCGGCTTCCGCAGGGCGGCTCGCCGCCTGCAACCAGAGAAAGAGGGAGGAAGTTGTTCAAGTTTCTCATAAAACTCTGAGTTTCCATGGTGGTGGTGGCGGTGGCTGCTCTTTAATGAGCTGGACCACAACCCCAGACCATATCCTCTTTATAAAACTTTCCCTCGCCAGAGGAAACGGAAGACTAAGATTGTCCCCTCTCATTCCCCCTCTCGTCCAAGCAAAACCTTGTCAAAGAATTTTAGGGATTGCCCAAAACTATAAAATTTAACTTGTGACAAAAGTATAGCTTTTAATATTTGACGATTTGTGTTAAAACAAAAATTGACCTTCTTGGTTAGTAGCGAAGGGGAAAAATCAATAGTATAATTTTCAATAATTCATAAAGCGAACGCCATTATGCTAAATCTTAACTATTAATCTTATCCTTTACAAAGTCTCGATTGATTTGTTAATAAAATATCTTCCCGTTTGTGGCAACAGTGGGTATAACTCTTTAAAAACCCTCAGAAGCAAGAAAATTACCAAGGAGCCCAAGAATGTAGATGAGAATTTTATTGATCGCCCTGATTCTTCTTAATATGTATTAATAAATTCCACAACCTTTTGTACCTTGCACTTGTCAGAAACCAATGCTTTTACAAAATCCATAAAAGGAAAACATATTTTTCCTTGCAGAAGCCTCAAATGACACCTTTGCTTTGCTCTCTCTTTGCCCTGGCCCCGCTTTCTAAAACTTGTGGAGTCCGAGGGTCCGAGTTTTCCCCTTTCTTTTGAAAAAAAATTTTTTTTCTTTTATCCTTCCTTCCTCTCTGCCCTGTGTTATCAGGGAAAGGAAATCTCGGTTTAGCTGTCTCTGGGAGCCCGAGGAACACTTTCGCGGATAGGGAATGGCTGGCGAGGATTATCTCCATCCAAGCTAGAAGCTCCCAGCAGCCGGTCCCTCAAAGGTCAGGGTGTGGTTACTCTGACAGTCTAGGCTCGAGGAGCTCCTGGGTGCCGAGGCGCCTCGAGTCCGAGTCTAATGGTCGAAGGAGAGGGTAACTACGGGCTGGAATTTTTCTCCGTGCTCCGGATTTGCCCAGCTGCGTGGCCTCTCGACCTTTCGCGGCCCTTTTCGCTAGTGGTTACCGCGACACCTTGGTCGTATCATCTTTGCAGCAGAGAGGTCTTTCTTTGGACCTAGGGGGGATGTTTCAGAACCAGAGGAATCGGACTCACCTTCCCAACTGCCCAGTACTACATTTAACCAGCCCGCGCCCCTACCCCTTGCTCGGAACCGGCAATCTTGGGTGCGTTCTGCCTGGGTGTGTGCGGGGGAAAAACGCTTCTAAGAGCAGGCGCCACGGCGCTCTGACTTCCCTCAGTGCGCGCGTCCTCCCGGAGGGCCCTCGGATCAAGTCTTTCCTTCCGCCGGCGTGGCCCAGTGGCCGGGTGGGGGACTCGAGTGGGGCAGGCAGGCCGGCCAAACAAGCCCCGGGAGACCGGCTGGCTGGCCAGCAGCAGAGCCCTGGGCCGGTTGTTTTCAGCGCGCACTATCACCGGCGCTTAGTAGATGTCGCTGTTGTCCGTGCTTACGCGGCCGGCCGGCCGGGCTCTGGAACACGTGACCTGCAAGGAGGCTGCGGCTCAAGGCCATTTTCAAATCTCATTGGCTTGGTTGTCATGTGGTCGGCAGAGGCATCCACAATTACACCGGGAATGTTTTCCTAGAGATGTCAGCCTACAAAGGACACAATCTCTCTTCTTCAAATTCCTCCCCAAAATGTCCTTTCCCAACAGCTCTCCTGCTGCTAATACTTTTTTAGTAGATTCCTTGATCAGTGCCTGCAGGAGTGACAGTTTTTATTCGAGCAGCGCCAGCATGTACATGCCACCACCTAGCGCAGACATGGGGACCTATGGAATGCAAACCTGTGGACTGCTCCCGTCTCTGGCCAAAAGAGAAGTGAACCACCAAAATATGGGTATGAATGTGCATCCTTATATACCTCAAGTTGACAGTTGGACAGACCCGAACAGATCTTGTCGAATAGAGCAACCTGTTACACAGCAAGTCCCCACTTGCTCATTCACCGCCAACATTAAAGAAGAATCCAATTGCTGCATGTATTCTGATAAGCGCAACAAACTCATTTCTGCCGAGGTCCCTTCGTACCAGAGGCTGGTCCCTGAGTCCTGTCCCGTTGAGAACCCCGAGGTTCCTGTCCCTGGATATTTTAGACTGAGTCAGACCTACGCCACCGGGAAAACCCAAGAGTACAATAACAGCCCCGAAGGCAGCTCCACTGTCATGCTCCAGCTCAACTCTCGTGGCGCGGCCAAGCCGCAGCTCTCGGCTGCCCAGCTGCAGATGGAAAAGAAGATGAACGAAACCGCGAGCGGCCAGGAGCCCACCAAAGTCTCCCAAGTGGAGAGCCCCGAGGCCAAAGGCGGCCTTCCAGAAGAGAGGAGTTGCCTGGCTGAGGTCTCGGTGTCCAGTCCCGAAGTGCAGGAGAAGGAAAGCAAAGGTCGGTATGAACAGAGTTGTCACCCCAACGGGGCGCGCAGTCCGGTAAACCCTCGGAAAGGGAGCGCTCGGGTACCCAAAGCGGAGTCCAGGCAGCGGAACCCAGCGCCCGACTGGGCAGGTGCTGCTCCACCCGGCTTTTAGAGGGGAGATCTCAGCCTTGAAAAGGTCCCCGATTCTCTCCCGCTGCTCTGGCCCTCCCGGCCGGTCCTGGCCCCACGCTGATGGCGCCTGGGTAGAGGAAAGGCTTGGCGGGATTATCTGTCCTGAGCCAGACCCGAAATGCAACAAAGAGCTAAAAGGAGACCAACGGCTTGTAAATAGGGTTCCAGTGGCCCCTTTTCTTTGGCTCAGATTTGAAACCCTAGTTTTGCCTTGCATCCAGGGATCATTTTAAGGTGGCCCAAGACATCGTGTTTGTGTTCAAGGGTTTGCACCCCGCATCCTGCGATCTTAGAGTGGAAGGAAATGGTTTGGCCGCTTGGTGCTTGGGTAAGGAAGCAGAGGGCGTCTTGCCTTTGCTGGGCTAGGTAACCTTGGCTTTGTCTGGGGAAAGTGCTGCAGGCTTTGTAACCTTATACAAAGAGGGCAAAGGCGGAAGAGGGGGAGAAGGGACCTGCATTGCCCACTTAGGGCTGGGATAAGGCAAAGAACCAGGGCTATGGGTTTCTAAGATGGAATCTTACCCACCCCAATCCCTGCAGTCTGTCCTTGAGTGTCTACCGGTGGGCCACAGAGTTACGTTTCTGGTGGCGTGCTTTTGTGTGAAAGCAAAGAAACATTTTAAAATTGAGGGATTTCTTGGGGGACTGCAACAATGCTCAGGCAGGGTGGAGAAGGTATTCTTGTTTGTTTATCTCTTGAAAGAATGTGGCTCTCAGTACGCCTTGTTGTGGGACTCCCTCTCTGCCCAGGAGAGGTGGGTAAGAAGCGGCCCGATTTGGGGCCTTGAAGCAGCAGGGAGATTGGTAAGCTCAAACTGTGACTTCTATTCCTGTCCTGTCATGGACTGACCACTTAGAATGTTGCTGGGGAAATTCGTAAACTTTACTATTATAGTAACGTTTTGTGCAAGTCATAAAGTTGTGTAGCAAAGAGAGAGAGAGAGAGAGAGAGAGAGAGAGAGAGAGAGAGAGAGAACCAATCCCTGGTATAGAATATCCTTCTGCATTAATTGTATTAATTTAAGTCTTTAGTTCTAATTTGGTATCAATTTAAAATCCCCTTCATGCCCCACCTTTGTGGGTAATGTTTAATACCAGCATTGTCCAAAGCGGCCTGTCTGCCAGCAGGGTCATGGCCAAGGGTATATATCTGAATGGACTGAGAGAAAAAAAAATTCTTGATTTTTTTTCTTCTCCCTTTAATTTTGTTAGAGGAAATCAAGTCTGATACTCCAACCAGCAATTGGCTCACTGCAAAGAGTGGCAGGAAGAAGAGGTGCCCTTACACTAAGCACCAAACGCTGGAATTAGAAAAAGAGTTCTTGTTCAATATGTACCTCACCCGCGAGCGCCGCCTAGAGATCAGTAAGAGCGTTAACCTCACCGACAGGCAGGTCAAGATTTGGTTTCAAAACCGCCGAATGAAACTCAAGAAGATGAGCCGAGAGAATCGAATCCGAGAACTGACCGCCAACCTCACCTTTTCTTAGGTCTGAGGCCCATGTGAGGCCAGGATCCGAGAGGGGGCACCGTGTTCCAGGCCCGAGTGCTGGAGGACTGGGAAGGCGGAAACAAAACCTTCATTGCTCTTTGTTTTGTTTTGTTCTGTTCTGTTTTCCTGCTAGAATGTGACTTTGGGGTCATTCTGTTCGTGCTGCAAGTGATCTGTAATCCCTATGAGTATATATATATATTAAAAAACTTAGCACGTGTAATTTATTTTTTTCATCGTAATGCAGGGTACCTATTACTGCGCATCTTCATTTGGGTCTTAACTTATTGGAACTATAGGACATCCATCCAACCATCCACTCATCCTCCCATCTAGCCAGCCAGCAATGTGACTTTTCCACGTTTTCCCTCACATAAAACTTCTCTGTGTGTGGTTAGCCCATGAATCCATGTCATTTTGAAAACATCTAGTACTTTAAAAAAAATACATATTATATATATTTCAAACGAATAAGAAAACCCACAAGCTTTGGGGGGAGGGGGACCTTAAAAAGCACATTACAATGTATCTTTTCACAAATGAACTTAGCAATTGTCCTTGGTGAAATGGAGTATTGATGACTTATGCCTTGTAGCCTTTCCCTTGTGGTGCATCTGTGGTTTGGTAGAAGTACAAGAGCAACCTGTGCTTTCTGTGCATGTTCTGGTCGCATGTATAATGCAATAAACTCTGGAAATGAGTTTGTTCCCTCTGCTTTCTGAAATGGAAACACATACGTCATGGTCATGGTGGAGACGACAGCCTTTGGGAAGGGTCTTTTCTGACTAAGCTGCCAGCTTGGGGCAGTTGGGGTAGGGGAAGTGGGGGTGGGCAGGAGAAAGGGGATAGGAGAGGGAAAGCTGGAGGGGACCTAAGGGTGCTAGACTGGGCAATGGCGGTGAGAATTCGTCCTGAGACTCTTCCTAACTGGGAAGAGTGTCCCATCTTCTCCCACCCTCCAATTCTGTTCATATATTTGCGTTCTCAATGGGACAAGCTTCCCCCTAACCTGAGCCTGGTAAGTAAGCCTGTGCCCTGTGCTGGTTTTTACTTTCAGTTCCCCATCTCTGTGTTTTCTTCTCTTTGGTTTTTGGTTATGTTATTTTTAATGCTTCCAGTGAGCTCTTGATGACTTCTGGCTGGGGAATCCGCCATCAGGGGCTGGGTTGGAACTAGTAATGCCCACCTGGAACCTGCCTCCATTACAAGAACAAACAACAGCCTAGCATGGCACTGGATCCAATCCCTTTCCCCCTTTTCTCATTCCTACCCATCCCAAGCTCGCTCAAGACAACCAGGCCCAGTGACACCAAGGTTGGGTGAGTTCTCTCATCTTACTTTACCTTGGTTCCTTTCTGAAAGGGATTTATGTTCCGCCATTGCCTTTCAGGGGCCCACATGGATATTTTTTTTAAAGGAAAAAATGGAAATAATTCTCCCCAGTCAAATCTCCCACTATTATAACAAAGTGCTCACTGTGGCTGAGCAGTGAGGCGACTGAAAGAGAATTTGCAGGTAAACGTGACTTCCCAACAAGTCCAATGGTCCTTTTACACATAGATTGGAAAATTCAAGCCAGCTTCTGTGGAATGCGCACCACTGAGCCAGATTCATCTGGTCCTGCCAGGGAAAGGGGACGAGGTCCTTGTGGGAAGAGGTGACCGAATTCGTTGCCCTAGGTTCGGCCTGTGGTTTCATCCCATCCTCAAAGACCCATCATAAAACAGGTTTGTTTTTTTTTCTTTCTATTTCTTTCCTTCCTTCCTTTCTTTTTTTCTTTTTCGTTTTTTAAACACAGGCCCGTTCCTCCCCAAGAACAATCTCTGTAGTCTCTCGGAACTTCGGAGCCCCCATTCAAACAGTCTCAGTACCTACTGTTTTAAACTTTCTTCCCCAAACCCCCAATCCTCCCAAGTTCCAAGACAGATCCCCTTTGGGGCTTATTTCCTGGGGCTGGTAGAGAGAGGTGTCTGACTCAATACTAGCTTGAGAAGACTGGAATAAATTTGCCCCTGATTTACCTTGGATAGGCAAAAGAAGAAGAAGAGCAATATTAACATCTGCGTTTCTCCCAGCGATGTGGGGAGTGCCATTAGTTTCTGATAGGGAGAAACCTGTGCTACAGGCAAAGGGCAGGCCCCCTGAAACAAAATCAGAGAGCCATTCGTAAAGGCAATCAATCAGGCCCTAAGTAGCCATTTACCCCTTTCTTTCCGGGGCTGGAGGTGGGCTGGGAGCCCTCCAAGGGTGCGCTGGGCAACTTGTAGAGCGAGGAATATGCCCTTCCCAATCGCTGCCGGCGTGCGGCTTTTGTCTCGGCTCCCAGCCGGGCTTTGTACCATGGATTTGGGAGTGACAATGGGCATTTCTCTCAGATTCAAGGCTGCCTGGCCTTACCTCTGAAGGCAAGGAGGGAAAATTGAGAAGGGAGTGGCTCAAAGACCTGTCCTTTCCTCTGGATTTTGAAGACATCTTCAGAATCCGTTTGCAGGCCTCTCCGTGTGAAAGGCTCGCAGCGGCCCTGCCCACGGAGATACGATTCCCGCCGGCCTCACTGAAGCAAGGCTTATTTGGCCAGTGAGAGCTGGCCTTGCTGGCGTTTGGGATTTTCCCTCTGTGGCATGTTTTTCTTCCAGGCCATTCCAGAAGGCCAGAAAAAGATGTGACACCACGACCATCATTGGGACTCCATGGGACACCAGCGCTCACCGCCCATCCGAGGGCAGAGAGAAGCCTCTCGGAGGCCGCCCCTACAGAGACCGCACTGAGCTGGACCAGGCCAGGGAGTCCGGTTGCCCCAGCACACTCCTAGGGCCTTGGGCGTGTGCCTAGCCTCACGTCGAGGATGTCTGTGTGGCTGCACAGGGAGTGTGTGAGTGTGGTAGAGGGAGGGGGCCCTTCGAGCTGCTCCATCCGTCCGTTTTATTAGGGACACATTAATCTATAATCAAATACACCTCATAAAATTTTTATTGAAAGGCATAATATCATTACAGAGGTCTTCCACCTGTTTTAAACAACACGACAAGTTGTGAGAGCGTGTGTGGGTACGTGTGGGGAGGGGTGGGTTTAGGTAAGAAAAGAGGCGAAGGGAGAACAACTCCCCTTGGGCGCCAGGGGGCCGCCCTCAAAGGCCTGCCTGTCTGGGGCAGCACCCGGCCGAGAGTCTCCGGCTGCTCCAGCCTTTGGGTAAGCGCCTAGGTGTGCCATGGAAGTCTGACCCAGGGCTCAGAGCCCAGGAGTCAGGGAGCCAGAGCCGGGGTGGAGACTGCAAGACCCAGAGCAGCAAGAAGAGACGAACAAATAGTCCCCAGCGCCTCCTGCGGCCGCAGTGAGGCCTGTGGTCGCCGCCGCCACCCGGGCGGGCTGGGCCGGGCCAGGCCGGGCTGGCGCGTGGACCTGGGCCCGGCAGCTCTAATTGCAGAGCTCCTGTTGATGATGATTTTTTTTTTTTTAAAATCACAGCAGCCCCCAGTTTAGCGGACTGATTTACTCCGGGTATTGGTAAATATGATCACGTGGGCCGCGCGACCAATGGTGGTGGCTGCAGCCTGCGAACTAGTCGGCGGCTCGGGCGCCGGCGAAGAGCGGCTCGGCGGCGGGCAGTGTAACCTTGGGTGGGAGCGCGCGGCGCCTCAACAATGTCGTCCAGTGGCACCCTCAGCAACTACTACGTGGACTCGCTCATAGGCCATGAGGGCGACGAGGTGTTCGCCACGCGCTTCGGGCCACCAGGGCCGGGGACACAGGGCCGGCCCTCAGGTGTGGCCGATGGCCCGACCGCCGCCGCCGAGTTCGCCTCGTGTAGTTTTGCCCCCAAATCGACCGTGTTCTCCGCCTCGTGGTCCGCGGTGGCCGCCCAGCCCCCGGCGGCGGCGACGATGAGCGGCCTGTACCACCCGTACGTGTCCCCGCCACCCCTGGCCACCGCCGAGCCGGGTCGCTACGTGCGCTCCTGGATGGAGCCTCTGCCCAGCTTCCCTGGCGGCGCGGGTGGTGGCGGTGGCAGTGGTGGCGGCGGTGGCGGAGGCCCGGGTTCCGTTCCCAGTCCTGGCGGCCCAGCCAACGGGCGCCACTACGGGATTAAGCCTGAAACCGGAGCGGCCCCGGCCCCCGCCGTAGCCTCCACCTCCTCCTCCACCTCCTCGTCCTCCTCCTCCTCCAAACGGACTGAGTGCTCCGCGGTCCGCGAGTCCCAGGGGAGCGGCGGCCCAGAATTCCCGTGCAACTCGTTCCTGCGGGACAAGGCGGCGGCGGCGGCGGGAGGGAACGGGCCCGGGGTGGGAATCGGGGCCGGGCCTGGGGCGGGAGGCTCGTCTGAGCCCTCAGCTTGCAGCGATCACCCGAGCCCGGGCTGCCCGCTGAAGGAGGAGGAGAAGCAGCAGCCGCAGCCGCCGCAGCAGCAACTTGACCCAAGTAAGTGCAAAAGAAATTGCCCCCTGATTTATTGCTGAAACCTGTAAGGCTCGAATGTGCAAAACTGATAGTTTTACTAACCTATAAAAACGTCTAGACGCCTACCCAAGCCTAGGCGAGCAACATGCATCCATAAAAAAGCTTCCCATAACCACCTACCTTGGGCGCGCGGTTTGTACGGTAAACAGAGAGCGGGCATTAGGGCTTTTTATGATAATTCCCCCCAGTTGTGAAAAGCGTCCATCCTTGGTGAAATTAATTTAACGACCTCTCTTCCCCACCCTGTGTCTCTCCCTGCCTCCCCTCCGCCCCTCGCTCCCTGTCTACAAACCCCCCTCTTCCTAGACAACCCCGCAGCGAACTGGATCCACGCTCGCTCCACCCGGAAAAAGCGCTGTCCTTACACCAAATACCAGACGCTGGAGCTGGAGAAGGAATTCCTCTTCAACATGTACCTCACCCGGGACCGGCGCTATGAGGTGGCCAGGATTCTGAACCTTACAGAGAGACAGGTCAAAATCTGGTTCCAGAACCGTAGGATGAAAATGAAGAAGATGAGCAAGGAGAAATGCCCCAAAGGAGATTGACCCAGTGCGGCCCTGGCCCGCAGCGGTCAAAGGCAGCGGATTTTGGTTTTTGTTTTGTTTTTTTTTTTTTTTTGTTTTTGTTTTTGTTTTTTTTTTTTTCCTTTGTGGGTGCTTGATTCAGAAACTCTTCAGCAACTCGGACTGTTTTCTTCTTTTTTAGGTAGAATTGACTGTGTGGTTGGTCTCTGTGAGTTATTTGGGGACACTGTATTTGCTCGCATATGTGTTGGAGAAACCAAGTGGCTTTGGGGTTTTGTCCTATCCCCCTCCTTCCCTTTCCTGCTCCATTGGTTCCTTAGGAAATGCTCTATTTTGTGGGTGCACGCAGGCTTGATGAAGCCCCCTCCTGTGTAACTGTCCCTCATGTTTCTGAAAAGCTCTGTAGTTTAGACTCACCCCATCCAGCCTCCCAAACAGGGCCAACTATCCAATTCCCAGAATCTGAAGGCAGAGGGAGATTGTGGACACCCCCGCTGAGATCCCAGCCTAAACGCAACCCAGCTGCTCACCGCAGGAAAGCCCCTTTCCTCAGAGGGCCCATGGGCTGACTTCCAGTGAGGCCTACCGAGAAGCCCTGGGGCGTCGCGGGGTGCGGGGAAGGCTTAGTCCTCTGAGCCCAGGAGGAGCTACTCTTTCCTCAGGAGGGCTGGACTCCCTTGAAAGGCCCCGGGTGCTGGCACTCCATGTTTTTGCTTGAGGACCAGTTGTAAAATGTTACCGCTTCCAACAAATAAATGCTGATCTGAGCAAACGGAGCCCAGCCGCTGGCCCTGAACGTTGTGTGACTGCTCTCTGTGTCTTTGCAAAATAACATAACCATCAGACTGCCCCATCCCTAGGAAGGGATATATTGCTAAAAGTTGGAGGCCCTAGCACCTGGAGGGTCTCTAAGGTGTTTTAGAGCTTCCTTTTGTGTGCACACACCTGGCCGAAGAGAACAATTTTGGAAGGAGTCTGGGTGCTTCCCCTTCAGTGCTGCCAGGGCCACAGTAAATTCCAAACCCTAGGCCCTGAGTGAGCCTTTCTGCAGAGCGACAGGAACCGGGAACCTTAAGTTAAGGCTTTTTGACACAAAGCCCCTGGCCTACTTCTATTCTGGAGACCCAGCCGCCAGTCCCCATCTCCAAACAAGGGAATGGGCAACTCTGCGCTGTGGAGTAACTCCCCCAGGCCCGTGAAGCTGGCTGACATCGGGAGGTCCCAGTCCGTTAGGCAGTGAGCATCAGCCCCTCCCCACCTCAGCCCAAAAGTGACCTTAGAGGATCCAAATGGTCAAGACACTCCCCCCCATACCCTCCTCCTGCCGCCCCCTTCCCTCCACCCTGCTTCTGTGTATGTTTAGCCCCCAGCTTGGCCCTCTGAGGACTCATTGAGAGGCTAAAATGAAGGTCATTGTGAGGGTTCAGTCGGATCACTGGCGTTGCAGGCCCTAGAGGAGGCCACGGCGCCGGGTAGCCTGGGATGGGCGGAAGGCGGGGGCGATGGCAGAGATCTTGGGGATCCTGATGAAAGAGGGGGACTCCAAGAAAAAGCAGATGGGGGCTGGGAAGGAAAGCCAAGGCCCAGATCCGGCTGAAGGTGCTGCATCCCCCGCCCCTTAGACCCTGCGGATACCTACAGCTCTTTGAAAACAGGAAGAGCCAAGGTGTCATAAAGCCATCGAGTCGGCGAGACGTCTGGAGGTAATGAGTTTACGACAGGCCAGGCGCTTCGCTTTGAAACCATCTCATTTTGATGTTTGTGGGAGGAAAGGAAAAATGCAGACAAAACTGGGTCTTAAAATCTGGACAATAAAATATAAACAAGACTTGGACCAAGAAGGCAGGGGCTAGGAAGCCCCCCAGTGAGGTGTGAGCACCCAGAAAAGAAAAATGAGGGGTGATATATTTCTGAATTTCTTTTTAAACGGGGCGAACGTTAGAGACAGCCTGTAACCGGTGGCTCTTCAATATTTTGACTGTGGCCATGATCTATCTGGTCCTTTTAAAAAGAAAAATAAGACAATGATACCCCTCCATTACTTGAGCTGGGGAAGCCAGTGATCTTGAGCCATTAACTCAAGCAAGTATCTCCTGGAATGATGTCTTATGGGGAAAGGGGACATTACACGGCTCTTCACTGGCCCGTCACTCCAAATTCCCAGCAAAAATATGAAGATTTGTTCACTTTTCACAGATACAGTCATTACAGCTAGATTAGCAGAAAAGATTTCTGAAAATGAGAGACAGAGAGACTAATTTAGCAAAAAAAAAAAAATCAAAAAACCACCAATTTGGTAATACTTGCTTTAAAAAAAAAAAAAAGACATACCGCTTATCCAATTCGGTTCAGTCATTTACACAACTTAAAAAAATCTCATTTATTATCTGGAGAAATTTGAATAAACATAAGCCCAATAGGGACTTTCCAGACAGGAACGTGGGATGCAGAAAAAGCTTTTGACTTTAATCCGCCCCAAATTATCCAGTTTAATGGGCTCAAAACGTTAAGATCAGAAGTTGAATTAGCAAATATACATCATTTAATGTTGAGACTAACAGCCTTTAAGAAGAAAAAAAACAATATTTGACTTCTAGAAAATTTTTTAGCTGTCAAAGTGGCCAGTTTCTTGAAAAACAAAAGTCTCGTCAATTAATATTTTTAAAGTTGATTTGTGTTAAACCTCGCCTGTTCTACAATTGTGTCTAAAAAGCACAGCTGGGAGATTACAGAATAGGGCACTTGCGGTGTCTGGCAACCGACCTGCTGGAAGCTTTGGCAAACACACTACTTGCAAGCTCTTGTGAGCCCAAACGAGAACTTCCTCTGCATTCGGGAGCCCTTTTTGCTGCAATTGACTTGTTGACAGTCGAGGAGATGAAGCATTATTAGTGTCAGCGGTCCAAGCCCAAGTCAAACTGAAGAATTAAGATTAGAATTGGTTTGAGGGGCATAAAAGGGAAATCAAACTCGGTTAGCTCGCGACGGCATTTGGCCACTAGAGGGCGCTATTGCTCCACTTTCTGATCTCTTAAAGCTAGTGTTGCGGTGGCGGAAGGTTTTGATTAAAAATATTTACAATCTTACTTTTAATCTTAAATTAGAATAAATTTAACAAAAATAAAGAACGTGAACTATTAAATTCTGAAGGCGTGCTTGTTATACATAAAATTTTGGCTCACTCAGCATTTCAGAAAATCTGGACGACTGTGTAGAAACTATAAAACGTTAAGTTAATGTATTCCATCAAAACAGAAATGAGTAAAAGCACAGACATTTACGAAGTTAACTGCGCTCTTCTTCCTTTCGAATAACAAACGGAATGCTTAAATAAAGTTGAAAAACCCCACATTATTTCGTCATCAGAGGAAATGTGCTGTAGTGTTCTTGTTGTTTTAATTAGGCCAGAATATGTAGAAAGAATCCTGTGTTCATGGACAAGCTCCCAAATATATAGGGTTTTTAAAGTGCCGGTATTACTGAGATGTAGGTCCTCAATTTTGGCTTTTTGCCCCATTCCATTCCCAAATCCGTGAATTTATTCACTGTTCAAATATACCCATTTCCCATGAACGTCCATGCCAAACGGTGGAATAAAGGGGCACAATTACCAAGTTTAGCTCCAAGGTTTTATTGAAAAAGATCTTTTAATTGGGTATTGCCGGATTGAAGTTCAAATCCTTAATAGTCAGAATTAGTTGTTACACTTCGCAGTTGAAGGATACTTGGAAGGAAAACAAAAAATGATAAAACACCCTTGCCCTTAACCACCCCAATAACAAGGTGCCCATCCTCTCTACCACCAGTTTTAATAACGCGTGCCTTTAGCTCTCCAGATTCATTTGTTTACCTTCCCCACTTTCAGCCTTCCTGGTAGAAAGAATTGAGTCAGACATAACTACCAAATATGCCTTTCTGTGTCGACCTTATTTATAAAAACGAGGTTCAATCCATTCGGACTGACCACGGGATCCCGTCCACATGGGCTGAGCAAACCCACAGGGAATGGAAGGGAATCTCTGGCCTGCTGCCTCCCTGAGTCCATCTGGGGTTTTTGGCATTTGTATTTGGCCGTGGAAAGTCAGCGCGGTGTGATTTAGCGTAAGCCAGAGTCTTTGGCGAACTGGGGTGTATCTTCAAGGTCTGTTCTCAAGATCATAGGTGCCCGCCAGACACCGCTTATCCCGAAGGATAAAGGGTTCAACACCTAAAGCTGGAGGAAGGAAGGGAGAAAGGGGGGAGGGGGAGAGAATAAATATATTTAGTGGACATTCAAATAATAGAAAAGAGATGAAGGCGTGTGGGGGAGCGGTTGGTAGTGTCTAGCCGCACAGCTTTTCACAGCTGCCGCAATCCTGACTTTTGCCCATCCCCGAACACGCGAACTCTGGATTTCCCCAGCAGGCTCTACTTCCCTTCCTCACAAAGTGGCTGCTCGGGAGCCTTCTCCTGATTTTCTCTCTGGGGGAAAAAAAATCAAGTTTAAGCTCAGGCCTGCACCCAGTCTCGGCAGTTATTTGTACGGATTTGGTGTGTGAGCTAAAGTCCTTAACAGAGGGCAGGGCCTGCTGCAGCTGCCTGGAACCGGCGCCATCCGAATGCTGGCCGGGGGGACCCGCGAGCCTGCCCCCCACGCTCCACCCGGGGCCACAGCCAGCCCACGTCCGCTGGGCACCCGGGTTGGGACCCTCGGAAACGCCACCCACCCCGGCGTGAGGCCTCCTGCCCACTGGGAACGTTCCCGCCGCTCTTCTCTTCACCCCCCCAGCTAATGTACCCTTCCCACATCCTCCGGCCTCCCCACCCCCGCCCCGCGCCCAACCCTGACGTCTATCAAGGGTGAAATGACGGAAACTATATTCATGGGCATGATTTCCATTAAATAGCAATTAACCTGGGAGCCTGAGCCGGGCAGGCAGTGCGTGCGTCAAGGGTAAATGTACGTCTCATTTCCACAAGGCCTGCTGGGCTGGAAAAAGCAGGACTTTGATTCGCTTTGATAAGGCCAGGATTTGGGGGCCGGATCGGGGCTTTGCATCAGAACCGTGGAGATAGGGTCCCCAAACAAATGCGAGGACCAGGCCGGCCACCCCGCCAGTCCATGTTCAGAAATGGGAAAAAAAAAAAAAAAGGCCCCGGCCAGTCCACGGTCAGAAATGGGGAAAAAAATTTAAAAAAAGGCCCCGGCCAGTCCCTGCTGGGCACTTCCCGGAGCTGCGGGACGACAGCGTTCCCTCTGCAGCCTCCTGGGAGTGACCTCCCCGGCTGCCCCAAGGCTAAGATTCGGCCGCGCCCCCCCTCTCTGCCGGCCCGGGGGGTGGGAGGGCAGGAGCCCTTGGCAGTGCGGCTTTATGGGCCCCCTTTAAGGCTGGCGGAGGCATCCCGGGGGCCGGCGTGAGGCGTCCCGGCCGGCGCAGGGGCCGCTTCGCCGCCGGCCGGATCCCTCCGCGCGGTTATCTCGCCCCCCATCTCGCTCCCTCTCCTGGCAGCGGCGGGGTGCGAAAATGCCTCGCCGGGGCGCACCGAGGCGGCAGCCTCGGCGGCGGCGGGGGCGACGGCGGCGGCGACAGCGCCGGGAGGGGGCGGCGGGGGGTGGGGGGTGGAGGTGAGAGGTGGCACCGAGCAGAGGGTGTGTTTTCTTCTCGTTTCCCTGCAGAGCGGGGGCTCGTGAGAGCCCGAGCCTAAGCGTCCTCCCCGCGGCTCCGCGCGCCGCACTCTTTTTCCCACCCCCCCCCTCGCCCCGTCCCGGGGCTGCGCTCGGGCCGCCCGGTGCCCGGGGAGGGACCTGGAGGCCGCGGGGCAGGTCACCCGGGGCGTCGGCGAGTAGACCGCGGCCCCGCGGGCGGGAGGGCGGGCGCGCGCCGGGGGAGAGGCCCGCAGGGCGGCGGCGGCGGCGGCGGCGCGCGGGGGCGGGCGGGAGAGGCCGCGCGGCCCGCGAGGGAGGCGGCGCGAGGCCCAGGCAGCGGCGGCGGTGGCGGCGGGAGAGCCCGACATGAGCGCCCGGCGGCCGGACGGTCGGGCCTGAGGGGAAGCGCGCGCCGGGCGGGCGGGCGGGCGGCGACGAGGCCCGGCGGCCCCCGCGGCTGCAGCAGCCGCCCCAGAGGCCCCCGCGGCGGCGCGGCCGAGCCCCGGCGCGCCCCTCACCGGCTGCGCTCGCCCTCCCGCCCGCCCGCGGCCGCCGCCCCGATGAGCTCGTACTTCGTGAACCCGCTGTACTCCAAGTACAAGGCGGCGGCGGCCGCGGCGGCCGCGGCGGCGGGCGAGGCCATCAATCCCACTTACTACGACTGTCATTTCGCGCCCGAGGTCAGCGGCCGCCACGCCGCCGCCCTGCAGCTCTATGGCAACAGCGCCGCCGGCTTCCCGCACGCGCCCCCGCAGGCGCACGCGCACCCGCACCCGTCGCCGCCGCCCGGCTGCGGCCGAGGGGGCGGCCCGGGCCCGGGTCAGGACTACTTCCACGCCGGCGCGGGCAGCCCGGCCGCTGCCTACCAGGCCGCCCCACCTCCTCCTCCGCACCCTCCGCCTCCCCCCTGCGGCGGGATTGCCTGTCACGGGGAACCCGCGAAGTTTTACGGATACGATAACTTACAGAGACAGCCGATTTTTACGACCCAGCAAGAGGCCGAGCTGGTACAATATCCTGACTGTAAATCGTCCCGTGGTAATATTGGCGAGGACCCAGACCACTTAAATCAGAGCTCGTCTCCTTCTCAAATGTTTCCCTGGATGAGACCACAAGGTTGGGATGCGCTTTTTTTTTTTTTTTAAGGAGGGAGAAAGGGGAGAAATCTGCTTTCATCTCACGTTCAAGCTTTAAAACTCCCTTGTCCTTTCCCTCTCCCCCTCCTTTGCCTTCTTGTGTAGCCGCTGTGACTCTTGTACATAAACTAATACGGACTTTTTTTTTTAAGTATGTAAAGATGATAGGGACAGAATAATTGCGAAGACCTTGTCTCTGCTTATCTTGCCTGCACACCCTTTATCTGTATCAGAATTAAAGACCACTGTGTATTTCATCTCTTAAGTCCGGTCCAGAAACTTCCAACAGCATTCAGAGGCGTCAACCACTAAAAAACAAACAAAACACGTTGATTTTCCTCCTCTTTTTGTTGTTTGTTTTCATCAGCAGCTCCTGGTAGACGGAGAGGAAGGCAAACCTACAGCCGCTTCCAAACCCTAGAGCTGGAAAAGGAATTCCTTTTTAATCCTTATCTGACCAGGAAGAGAAGAATCGAGGTCTCCCATAGCCTGGCCCTCACGGAGAGACAGGTAAAAATCTGGTTCCAGAACAGGAGGATGAAGTGGAAAAAGGAGAACAACAAAGACAAGTTCCCCGTGTCCCGGCCTGAGGCAAAGGACGGGGAGCCCAAAAAGGAAGGCCACGAGCTGGAAGAAGATGGAGCCGAAGGCCCCACAAATTAACGTCTAAACGTGAAAATTATACCGCAGACTCTTAAGACTAATGATCAGCCGATGCTGGTGGACGCCACCTCCCCCTACCCCTTCTTTGGAAAGGACTTTACCTGTGTTTCAAGCTACCTTAATGTCACTGCTCTTGAGGTTTCTGCGCTTTGAAAGGGATGTGGGCGTTTTTTTTTTTTAATTAGTTTGTAGCATTGCATAGAAGCAGTCCTTGAGCTGCCCCATAGAAGGGTAATTTGATACCGACCTTGTAGCTATATTTTTATAATGGTAGTTTTTAAAATGTCTGAGCTGGTGATTTGCCTCAACAACGTAAACTTCCTAATGATCAGCACTAAATGATCGAATATAAAATGCTTTATTAATCAAACAAGTGCACTTGAACATTTTAAATCTTTATGGTGAGTAAATTAAAAGAAGTCTATTGATAATTTTTTTTTAAAAAATATGCCTGCAGAATATTTACTTTATATTATTTGATTAAATGTATTTATTTTTCTCTCTGCTTTTGTAACAGTGGTTCAGGTATCTTGTGGTTTACTTTCAGGTTTCTTTGAGCATTTTGTAATTGTCTGTCAGGGAAGAGTCTGGGCCAAACATTGGAAAAGCACATTAGCAGAAGAGTGCAATGTACCTTATAGTCCAGGCTCCCGCGAGGCTCCTGAAGCCTAGGCGAGCATTGTGCCTGTGACAGGAGTGTACGGATAATGTCAAAGTCGACATTTGGCCGTGCTTCTGTAGTCCATGCGAAACTATGGCAATTGAAGGAATGATCTAGAGAATTAATACTTGAAAACTAATTGCAACATTTTCATTAACTTTTCACTCTGGCAAGTGGCCTTGCTTTCATTTTGAACCCTGCTTGTGGGCCCCCGGGATTTCTAGGTCTCTCTGCTCTGTGTCTCTGCCTTTTCAAGTAGGTGCCATATTTATTTGTATTCTCTTTGCGCTGCTCGCATGCACCTTCCAAGCCAGCTTGCTGCCTTCGTTTCCGATGTCGGTTGGTACGTCCGTCCTCTGCTGTCCTTACCTGTTTGAAACAAGCCCTGGTGTAAACGCAGGAACTCCGAGTGTAAACAACCGCTTCAGAGCATAGCTCCGCAATAAAGAAACGGACCTCCCTACAGAGCAGAGCTGATGTCTTTGAGCGTGCGCGGCACAAACAATGGCCAGGCTCACACACATGAAGGCAGTGATTTGCTCAAGCCTTCTATTTGATAAGCAGATGTGGGTTATATACTCTCCAAGCTGAATAGTAAAAATAATAACAATAATAAATGCTGGTCTGGGGCTTCCTTGCAGAGTGGGCTGACTATCCTTGTGTCTTCTTGCGTTAAATAATCCTGGTATGATACTGTGCCAGCTTTGAACTTCAGAATGATTCCAGTCAAGTCGGAGGCCTGGTGACCTAGAGTCCAGGTTACACCACAGCTTAATTCCGTAGAATCCTAGCTGAAGCTGGCGTTTGGCATCTATTATTAACAAGATATCCATTTCCCATTTAGGGCTGCTCCTGCAGCTGTTTTTTTATACAGGGTGGGGGGAGGAGGGAGAGAAGGGGAAGGAAAGGAGAAATTCAAGTAAAGTCTCATTTCTTCTTGAAAAAATGGAAACGCCTCAAAGTAGACATTGAGAGCTGGCTGCTTTTTGTTAGCCACGTTTACTTTTAAAGATGTGGTTTTTGTTTTATTGTTAATTCCCAGAGTGGTTTCTATTACATGGGTAAGAAAAGAAGATTCTTTAGTCTTGGGCCAGGTTCACTGCCAGGTGCTGGTGGATCTCAGGATCGGTACTGGCTGGGTTAGAGGCAAATCCCCTGCTCTCTAGCCAGGGAAGAGGCTGTGGCTGTAACATTTGCTAACCTAAGCCCAGAAAGACAGTTTAAGTCAGGAGTGTCCAAGGCTTAACCATTTGCACAGAGCTGACAGCTGCAAAGGCCAGAGCTGGATTTGGGGACATTTTGCTCTTGCACACTGCTTGAATCAGTGCTGGCTGGAACAGAGCAAGGGTGCCTCAGGCTGAGAGCCTGGCTGGGAAACAGCCTTAGGCATAAACTACCTGAAACCAGTGCTGGCTAAATTCCAACAGTTCTGATTTAGGGAACTCTTTAAAATTTGCTGTCTCTGGGCTGGAGAGATGGCTCTGCAGTGATGAGCACTTGCTCTTGCAGAAGAATAGGGTCTGAGTCTCAGCATTCATGTGGTGGCTCACAGCCATCTGTAACCCCAGGTCCAGGGAATCCAATGTGGTTGGTGCACATATATACATGCTGGCAAAATGTTTATACACACAGAATAAAAAATAAATTAAAATTGCCATTTCCAACTCAAGAATGCTCCTCCAAATATCACTTTTCAAACTGGAATTTGACAAGATTCAATTAGGAAAAGGGCATCCTAAGTGGATGAGTGGGAGTGGGAGTCAAGGATGGAAAGTAAGGTAAAAAATGCCGCTTCTTGACATTCTGGCAATCTGCACTGCTCTGGAAATGCACCTTTGGCCTGCTACACCATGGTAAAATCCCAGCTCTTGTTCAGACCATTGCAGTAACCACTGTGTGGAGCTTATGCATTTGTTGATATACATATTCACAAAGAAGTGTTGGTAATGTAGAAATGAATGCTTCCTAAAAAAAAGAGCACAGGTCTGTCTCCAAGTAAAGACCTTGAGAATCCCTCCCCCACCCCTATCTTCCCCACCGGGCTCTCCCACCCATGATGGTGTCTCAGTAGAGGATTAGTGGTTGGGAGCGTGACATTGGCTCAGATCTGTAAACAGTGAAGCACTGCGGCAAGAAACGATTTTTTGCGGCATAAATTTACATAAACCTTTGTAGACCCCTTTGTAGACTGGGGAGCCTTTCTGCCCAGAAAGGAGACTTAAGAGAAGTCTATAAAGTGATTAGGGAAAAATTAAGACCCCCCTCCATGTTAACACTGACTCAAAGAGAAAAGCCTTCTGAGTGACTAGGCTGTGTAAGAGCCAGAAACACAAAACGAGGGTGTGGTTCTTCTTTCTAGAGGAAAGTCAGTTCAAGGGTACCCTGTTGGAAGTCCTCGGTTACTCCTCTAGCCTCCGTGTGTAGCGGACAAACGGTGCGCAGGGCTGCCTCTCAATCCAGTCCTTCCCTCCTCCAAACCACAAAGGCAGGTGATAAAGTCTGCTTTTATTTGGGTGGAGGGGAGATGATGTGGAGACAAATTGAGATTAGTTTCTAGAATGTTTTAGAACTGAACGATCTCTCTACCCAGTTTCACACATACAGGGCGATGTAAACTTCCTGACCAGGGAAGGAACACCAGCTTGCCCATTCACGTGTGTGATAACGTGGTGTTTAATACAGTGCACAAGATAGCACATCCAGCATCTGCCCTCCATGGCTTTGGTGCTTGCTGAATCCTCGGATGGCTAGAGGTGGAAAGGGAAAGAGAAAACATTTTAATGGGCCAGCAAAATTAGGGCCCATTGGCCTTTTCAAGAAATAAGACTTTTGCTGACAGATGGTGGCAGAAGCCCTTTAACTAAAATTATTCAAGGTCACCAGAACTTTCTCTTGGGATACAAATGGCCTGCACAAAAGGATACTGTGCATTTCCTTCTTAAATAAGTTAATACTTACTGGGTGTGAAGATATTTCTGGCAAAGAGCTTATAGTTAGAAACGTCTTGTTAGAATATTCTGGAAAGACCGAACGGGTAGTGACCCCTTTTCAGGCAGGCTTTGACAGCTGGCTGGCAGTGCCCATTAGGGCAATGTTGGAGGTCAGTCAAGGACACTGGCTTTCAGGTGGAGTTCACCAGAGAGGTGGCCACTGACAAGGCAAAGGGAGATATGGTTCCAACCTTTGAGGAGAAATTTTTTTTTCTAGATTGTTTTTATCATGAACAAGATAAAGCCCCTCTCCTCTTTAGGAAGGCATTAAGTTTTCAATGGTCAAACACGGGGGGAGGGGGGGGGGCGGTGGCGGAAGTATGAGCACAGAGGACTGGAATTAAATTCCCCAAAAGTCCTTACATCTTAGGACCTAAAGTGAGGATATTGGGGGGGGGTCCTCCTTCCGTGGCGACAGATAAAGACTCAGCCATGGGTGCTCAAAAAGGTATTTCGGAGAGGCAGACAAGTATCTCGAAATAATTACCAGCCTTTGGGATGGGCGACTGCTCTCCCACTGCAGAAACCCCCAGGAGGCCCGAGGGTCCCAGTTTAGGTTGGAGTCAAGTGCGACAAGAGCTTGTGCTTTCTTGGCCTATGCAGCCCAATTTTCTGGGCAAGATTTGGGATGTGGCTGGCCTGAGATGAGCGGGTAAAAACGGAGAGCGCCTGGCATTCCTTCTGGACAAGTGTTTTTGTGAGGGAGTGGAGGAGAGAAGCCAAGTGACCAACGTAGGGGAGACGTGATACTGGGGGGAGGCGCTGTGGGGATGACATCCCCTGAGCCTGAGCGCTGCCCACACTCATTTTCCTCCCACATGGCGGCCAATTGCACGGAGGTTTTGAGCCAAACAAAAACAAAAATGCCCAATAATTCCTAGAAAAGGTGTGTGTGTGTGTGAGAGAGAGAGAGAGAGAGAGAGAGAGAGAGAGAGAGAGAGAATAGAGGAATAGAGAGAGAGGGGGAGAGAGACAGAAAGCGAGGAAGACAGAAAGACACACAGAGAAAGAAACAGAAGAGGGATTCGAAGAGAAAGGAAAGAAAGATAAAGAGGAAAGAGGAGGGGTAGTAAGGAGAGAGAGAGAGAGAGAGAGAGAGAGAGAGAGAGAGAGAGGAGAAAGGAGAGGAAAAACATGGCGCTCGCGAGCTGTATGTGCAAAATCCGCAAGGAATTGCAGTAAATTCCTTTTTGTTTGAAGAAAATTTACAACTTGGTAATAGACCTTTTTATGACCTATTTGCGGTCGTCATTGGCTGCGGCTGGTCATGTGCAGGCGCCGCTCGCCTTCACGGCCTTTTTCCTGATTTCCCAGGCGAATTTGCCCCCGCATTCTGCTTTCCCAGAGCCTCACCCCCTCTTTTTTCTAACCTTTGTCTCTGCAGAGGTGGGCTCCAGTCGCCGACTGCGGGATCGCGGGGTCCGCAGCGGCCTGGGCTCCCGCCGCGACTCCACCGCAGCTCGCCCCGGGTGCCGATCGTGGCTGCCTACGGAGCCGGCGGGGAGCCCAGAAGGAGCCAGGGCGCCGAGCCCCCCGTCGCGGCTCACACTCCTGCGGGGAGTCGCTCGCCTGCTCTACCCGGGCGACCGCGGCCGCGTGCTTCCCACCCGGTTCCTCCAGCAACATGAGCCCGAACCAGCAGCCGAGGGTGCGCGCAGCCCGGCAGCGCCCGATGGATTCCAGACGCCGCCGGGGCCGACCGCCTACAGCTCGGCAGCCTCCGGGTAAGAGCCGCCCTCCTGGCGCCCGAGCTGCCCGCGCCACCGCCTCGGGCAGTGGGTGCCACTTTGCCGGTGCCCTATAGTACCCAAGAACCCGGGGGTCGCACTTTGCGTCTCTCTCCCTAATGCATGTCCCTTGGGGCTCAAGGTGGGGCCCTGCTGTGCTCAAAAGTGCATAGGGGACGCGTTCATTCCCCCCCCCATCCCTTGACTTGGAAACCCTTAGATCCGGAGGCCCCCACCCCCCACCCCGGAATCCACCCTGGGAAGAGGAGCGTGCAGATGGCTTCAGGAAACCTCAGCTTGGCTGGGGGTGGGGGTCAATAAAGGTTTCCTATAGTACAGAATACTGTGCTTCCGTGGTTTGACGGTGGTCAGGGCTACTATAGGTTAACAGGTGTTTTTCGAGGGTTGGGGCTGGGTGGGGTGGGGGTGGGGTGGATTCTGTGTACTCAGAATGTGTTTCTTGAGTGAGGCCAATTTTTAGGGTTTATAGTTTATTGGGCCTTGTGTATGAAATGACGTTTTAGTCATTTTAAAACGTTCTCTAATCCTCAGGGCGGGGGGGGGGGACTGGTAATAACTCAAGCAAGGTTTCAAGGTTTCTCCTACATCCGATAATGTATCAGGTGAATTTGAACTATTTTATGTCACAAAATGGATGTTTGTTTTTTGGGATGGAAGATCAGAAAATCTGGTGCAGGTTTTAGGATATACCAGTAGGTATTAGAGCAATGCGAGGTATTTCTCAATTCAAACACCGCGATGTTTCTCATTTGTCAGAGTCGTGAAAGAGTAGATTTTTTTCTTGCTTTCTAAATGCATTATGGTATTTTTTTTCACTTACCAATGAATGCTACACAGCAACATCTCTTACTTTGAAACACAACTGAACCAACCAACACACACACACATACACACACACACAATCTTTGCAGAACCTAGTGCTGTTTTCCCCAACAAATTTGGTTGGTGTTTGACCATGCATTTTGCAATCTCCTGTTTCCTATTCCTTCATGAACTCGTAGGGAGCAGCAAGAGCTCAGGCGATTAGATCTGCCGCATTGCGCTTGAGACCGCACGTGGTGGTGGGCTCCAGTCTCCAAAGTGCCTATGGATAAATCCTTCTCGTTTGCCCAGACATTCCAGTATAACAGTGTTGGCTGTGCAAGTATTTGTGAACAATAGGTGGTATACCTATAGGATCGTGTTTTTAATAGTTGAGAATGGAATCACCCTTTCAAAATGGAGGACTAGTTGATGCCTGCAGAATTGTCCTGGGTCAGTGATTCTGAGTGCTCAGTCTAGAGTTGGATTTTTTTTTTTTAATTTAGAGTATCTGCATCTTGTAGAGCAGTTTCCCATCACACAATGATGACACTGAGATGATTCTCTGGTAGACAGAAGAAGCATTCCCTTTTGGAAAGCCAGGTCCTTGATGGGTATAGGCCCTGTAGCAAGGTAGGGTTGAAGCTGGGTGGGGCCGAGGGGGAAGAGGTGGTGTTCTGAGACCAGGCAGGGCTGGGGGTGAGCTGGATGTTCTGCTGGCCAGGTTGTAGTTTGGGGGTTCCAACTGCTTTTTCCTGGGTTTGGTGGTCCAGTCTGCTACAGTGACTGAGATGGTCGTGATTTCACAGAGGAAGGTGACGCCATGTGCAGATGTGGAGGACGCAGGCAGTCTTTGTAAGCCTCATGGTAGCATTGAAAGCTTATTGGGAAGGAGTGGTTGATTGCATCTTGAGAAATGAATATTTGGGAAGTCGCACATATTCTCTCCAAAAGTGTAAGAGGCCATTGCCACCAGCGCTACTTTCATTGTTTCTGCGAACCTAACAAAAAAAAAAAAATAGAAAAGAAAGAAAATGGAAAGGAAAAGAAACGAAATTTTTTAAATGTTCATAGCCTAAATGTTTAGAGGTTTGTGGGCACAGTTCCCAGCGTCCTGGGTCCAAACCTCTATTTATAGACTTGGGAGCCAATGTCCTGGCCTTGGTGTCCTCTGATGTGAACAGGAGCTGGGAGTCAGTCTCTGGGAGAGCCACAAAAAAGAGAGGCTGGCTTTCACAAATGTAGCCAAAAACAAGGGCTAAAAACTAAGCGTGTTTTTCCTGTTATATCTTTTTTACAAATACGTATATTTTGCCAGAATTCTGTTCTCTGAGCCTGAGAGGCAGAGAAACCCGAACAAAGACAGTATTTCACCCTGGGCTGGCAGGCAGCTGTTAGAGGTATTTACGGCCTTGTCGCAGTGCGGCAGCCAGTGAGGGTATGCGGGGGCACAGGAAGCTGTGGAGAAGCAACCAGGAACTCGGAATTCCGATTTAAATCCAATTTAGGTGCACTTTTTCGGAAATGACGAAAATAGATACCATTGTTTCAAAGGAAAGTATCCCCTAGACCTGATAGTTTTGTAAAACTAAAGGAGAAATGCTCTCAGAACGCAGGGTGGGGTGACACCCTTTCCCCCCATTGATAGACGACTTGGGACTCAGGGGAAGCTGTACCCCAGATGTGAAAATTCTGATCCGAAGGAACGCTGAGAGTGTTCATGAACAACATAGAGATTTTGCTGATTTGACGAAACTGGACCAGCAAATTTAGAAAGATTAGTTGAGGCGTTAATTCAGATTTTCCTGAAAAAGAAAATTACATTGTCTGCCTCTGCAGATAGGATAGGATTTCCAAGTGCTTCTGCAGCCAGGCGCCGGAGTCTTGCGCGGTGCAGTCCAGGGTACTATGCTTGACCGGCATTGCTCAGAGCCTCTGCAGTGCGGGGCTGCGCACGCCCAGCGCATGTGCAGTGAAACAGCCCAGCCCTGAGATTGAACCAGCACTGCACAGATTGGGGGAGGGGGCAAAAGGAACCTATAACCAGATCTAATACCCCTTCCTCAGGACTTGCTGCTCATCTTTTCTTCCAGTCTTTTTTTAAAGATAGTCGCTAACTTTACCCTTGACCACAATTACCACCCCACCCAAATTTGTCTGTGTGTTAGAAACAGGTTACGAATATGAGCTAGTAGTTAGTAGTAAGTAGATTTTCCCCCGGTATGCGTGCACACACCAGAGAGAGAGAGAGAGAGAGAGAGAGAGAGAGAGAGAGAGAGAGAGAGAGAGAGAGAGAGAGAAGAGGAGACCCTCAGGAAATACACAGCTTTTTTTTTTTTCAGACTGGTGCAGCCTGCTCTGGGAAAAGGCCTTTCTTCCTGGAGCCTGTTTAAACTACCAAACCATCCCTGGATCTCATTTCGCCAGCCAGCACAGCGCGTCCTAAGGCTCAGGCAGGCTCAGCCAAGAGCAATCAAAGTAAATAAATAAGTAAACAAATAAATGACCAAACTGGAAGGATTTTCCATCTGTCACGCTTCTGGGTCACAAGCTTGTTGTCTGAGCTGGGGGTGGGGCGGGGAGAAGTAGCTTCGAGGACTTCTGGGCTTCTTTCGGCCTCTCCAATGGACCTGACAGGACCAACCTCTGATGTCCTGAGACCTCAGCCCCAGGAAAGACGTGCCTAGCTTTGGGTTTTCAGGGCTGGTGGTGTCCCTGTTTGGCTATCTGGAGCTTTGTCCAGGAGGAGGCGCTGTAGGACAAGCGTCTCGCTGGCTTCGCGGTGCGGCAGATGCCCTGGGCGGGAGGGGAAGGGGAGGACACAAGAGCCACCCCTCCCTCTACTCCGCCCTCCACTTGAGCTCGCACAACGTGCACAGCATCAGACAAGGGTGGGTGGTGTGGTCACTTATCCTCCAGCTGCCCGCAGCAAAGACAGCTCTTAGGTTCTTGGAGCCTGAAGTCTGATTCGGGGGTGAAAGGCCACGCTGTTTCCCTCGCCTTCCCAGAGAGGGCGTGATTTGCGGTTCTCTAGGGACAGGCAACTAGGATCTTAAGGCAAGCTGTTCCTAAACCACAGGACCCAGTGAGATGCCTCACCCTCTACACAGCCTCAATCCCTGCCTTTCACTGTGTCCTGAATCCTGGCACCCAGAACAGGCAGTTTGAGGAAGCACAGAATGGATGGAAACCCCTCTTTAGCAAGGCAATTGACCTCCCCCTGCTTATTTAGAACAGGGCCTGGGCCCCGTGACAACTTCCTGACTCTGAAAGCCTGGGGAAATCCCACCTTGCAGTCCACAGCTTGAGATTCAGGCAGAGGCACAGGGCTACTGGAAACCACAGCCCCACCACCGTGCTCACTGCAGGCCTATTGTGTGCTTGCTGGCTAGTCCTCCTCCAAGGGTGACACCAACTTCAACTCCTCCTGCCTCACTGATCCTTTGTTGTCCCCTCCAATGTCCTGCAAGGTCTCCCTTTTCACTACTCCAAGGCAATCATTCTCAGCAAAGGCTCTGCACCCAAATGTCTGCATTAATTAGGTTTTTAGGTTTCCCCCAAACACACTGAATTCCAATGTCAATATGGGGTGTCTTGGCATCCTGAAATCATCCTCCCCAAAGCAATAAGGAGGATGCGTACTTAGGCTTGAGAGCCATGGGTCAAGAGTCTCTCTTGCTTAGCTCTTTATTCCCCTGATTCCCTCTCTAAGTATACACTGTACATTCCCAGACCCCTGCAGCTACAATCATGACTGTCTGGTTTGTTTTGTTTTTATGTTACTACACTAGAGCTGAGTAATTTCTTCCATTTTATGGATGAATACAGGGTCTGTGGATTCCTCACTTTGGACTTGGAGAGCTCAAAGAGAGCAGTTTTGAAGCTAAGTTTACTTGGGTTAAAACCCATACTCTACCACCTACTTGCTGGGTAACTTTAGGTGAACAGGACCAAACCTCTAAGCTTGTTTCCTCCTTTGAGAGAAGGGATAATAAGAGTATCATCAAGGGTTCTTATGAGAATTTTGCTTTTTTAAAGGTGGGATCTCTTTATTTTTATTATGTTACCCAACTGCCATTGGGCTTAAGACAATCCTTCTGTCCCTGTCTCCCGGGTGCCATGGCTACAGGCGTGAACCCACCACGTCTGTCTTCATCTTTACTTCTCTGTTAGTGTTGCATTGAGCTCAATACTGGCTGCATTAACTATACTTTTTAGCTGAGTCAATAAAATGGTGCTTTGACACATGAAAATGTAATTCTTGATCCTTGCTATTAGTGGTCCCGCTTTGTCATAAGTAACCTTGGCTTTTCCAGTCAACCACAAGAGACAAACTGGTTCACTCACAAAAGCCTTGAATTCTAGAAAGAATGAAAGAGACCTGAACTGGACATGATGGTGCATGCCTATAATCCCAGTACTAAGGAAACTGAGGCAGAAGGATCCGCAGTTGAGTTTGAGGCCAGCTTGTCTTCGTTTGGAGTTCAAGCCCAGGCTAGACTACGTAACATGTCCCTATCTCAACAAAACACAAAACAATAAAATTAAATAAATCTTGGTCAGGTTTCATCAGCAATGACCTCTTGGGTCTCAATGTCTAGTATCTACACATATCAGGGTTCCACAAGGAGGAAAGAGCCCTTGGCTCACACTCCCAGAGACACATTTTGAACTTCTCAGGAGGGTTTGCAGTCTCTCCTGAGCTCACTGCCAGCTCCTTCAGTCCCTTCTAGTGCCAAGCTGTCCTGTGTCAGTCATACCTACTCAGATGGTCTTTCTTCTACAGCTCTGGGGCATCCTGGTCTCCTGAAATGAGAAGATGCAGCAGGAAAACAAGCAGCAGGCCCCTCTCCCTCCATTAATCTACCCGCATCCTGTGACTTAGGCGTTAGGGCTACGGCTAAATCTGAAATCCACCTTGGATCAGAGTAATGACAAGGTCTGTTTTTAGGAAGGACGTAGTCTCCTAATTTTCAAAGGCCTTTCCAGTTCTTTGAAACAAATAAGCAAGCTCTTTGGAGACACGGTCCTGTTATAAAGTTCAAACATGCCACGAATTCAGTTGTCTTGCCTCAGCCTCCCAAAGGCTAGCATTGATTGTAGGTGTGTGCCACTGGGCCTGGCTGAGAGTCTTCTCGTTTATAAAGAATTTCATAAACACACTTCAGGTTATAACCCACACATGTGTGCACACTCCTCGAGACCAGGTTCCTACATCTTTAGCTCTGACTTCCATGACTCTTGCCTACAGATTCCCCCCCCCCCCTGCCGCCCTTTTTCAAGCTACTTCTCTTGACTATGCCAAGAATCTGAGTTAGATTGTCTCCAGAAACAATCAGAGTTTCTTCTTCTGTTGTGCCAAGTAAAGTTCTGCCCAGAGCCTCAGGGAGCAGCATGGTCAGGTCATCCAATCCCCTTGCCATCCATCTAGCTCCTTCTTTCTAGCACCCAAATACCTTTCTTGGAGTCACTAGCACCTCTTCTAGCCTCCGACCCCAAGTCAGACCTCTTGCCCCCAGGTTCTTTTCTAGACCAAGAGGTTCTTATCTCCTACTGAGGGCCTTTCCTTTTGGATCATCTCTTCCTTACAGGGGACCCTAAACTAGTAAAGTCATGGAGGAGAGGGGAACGTCAGTGCCAGGAGGACAGAATCATATTTCTCACTTGCTTAGGAATTCCTCTTCACTCTTCTCTGACTCTACGCCTAGCCTGGGTCCCTAAGCAGGAGTCCTGGGCAGACTCCTTATGCCATGTGTCTTTGGCTAGGAAATTCACCCAAAGCCTTACCCCTTCTGTCCCCATTTTTCTGTATGTTTAGTTTGAAAGCTCACATCTTCTCTAGACAATAGGCCTCTTAGGAGACATTAGCATGATTTTCTATAGGGTGTGCTGATGGCTGACCTGCAGTATACTTGAAATATCTGATGCTGTTTTCTGGAACCGCTTCTCTCTCACCTTCCTGGAGCAGCTCTGACATCTGCGTTGAAGCAGACTTACAGGAGACCCTATATCATGGAAGCCCACCAGGCAGAAATTCTTAGAATTGGCTCTTTCTGGCTGTATGAGATAAAGCAGTACCCTGGGCCCTAGTTTACTGGAAACTAATTCCTTACAGTTTTGAAGGTTTGTTTCTTTGTTTTCCATGGCAGGGTTTCTCTGAGTAGCCCTGGCCATCCTGGAACTCACTTTGTAGATCAGGCTAGCCTCAAACTCAAGAGATTTGCTTGCCTCTGCCTCCCGAGTGCTGAGATTAAAGGCAGGTGCCACCAATTACTGCCTCTTTGTTCCTTTCCTGTTTGATTACCACTACTGCCAACATTGAAAAATCCTTAGCGAACAGGATGTAGCCTGGGACTCAGAGTTTGAGCACTTGCCTGGTCTCCCCAAATCCCTGCTAGGGATTTCAGTTGTGGAGGTGGGGGGTGAAGAAACCCTGGGGAACCTGAAACAGGTTGGTACACAGGCTCAGCTTTCCCTGTGGTTGCTCACTTTCTCCCCACCCTCTCTTTCATTCACAAATCCTAGGACCCTGGAGGTAGATGGAATAACAAAGGAGGAGCCGAGAGGGACACACACTTCCTCCTTAATCATTTTGCCTGTGAACTCTCTGATCAGAAAACAAAGATGTCTGTCTCTATGTATCCCCCCCCCTTTTTCTTAAGTGCGGGGGGCCCTTTCCTGTTACTCTCCTCTTTATCCAGAGTAGGCCACGTCTCCCTGTGTCACCTACAGAGACATTTGCAAACACATCTCAGACGCCATCCTTCATCATCTTTCATTAAAAAAAAAAAAAGTCTCTCCTGATGCCCAGCAAGATACCAGGCACTGTATGTCCGTCCACACACCGTTTCCCAGGACCTGTCTTCATCCCACTTCCTTACAAAACCCCGGAAAGCATCTACCCTTTCAAGAATCTTAACCTAAAAATTAAAGCTTTTCTCGACTGCCCCAATGTTAATTATCTCTTCTAGGTGATTAACAAGGATGTATTTCAAAGCTGTTCTTCAAAAACTAGTTTCTGAAGGGTTACCTCTACCCATTACTTTAAAAATATGCCACCAGTTGTGGGGGGAAAAAAATCAAGAAACCAAAACCAACCAAGCAAAAAAGTCACAAGAGTCTCTTCACATGGCTGATGGGATTTTTTTAAAAAAGGAGAAATGGATACCCTGGTGTCTGGACTATCAGCCCCCTGTTTTCTGGCTAGTGGAAGTCAAATCAGAAAGTGAGTTTGGAACCGCACATAGAGTGGCTGGAAATTAGCGTGCAAAGATGTGTGTGCAAAGACTCTTCTCTGGGCTGTGCAGCTCTCGGATAGGAACTGTTGTAACCGCGTTGATTTAGAAAGCACAGCTCTGTGTGTGCTCTACAAATCCATGCAGCGATTTGTCATTTTATCACAACAGAAAATAGTCACATTTTCACAAGGATGGTGGCACTTCTGGAAGGCCACTGAAGGGTGTTGGGGCCCAGTTCTCTTTGTGCTTCCTCCATCCCCTACCCCTGTCTCTTCTATCTCCCGCCTTCTCCTGTGACAGCGTGCCCAGACTGTTTCCTTGATTTCTCAGGAGGACAGACAGACATTTCTTTCTTTCTCAGTCTCTCCCTGTGATGGGGGCAGCAGTGGGGAGGAGCTACTGAAAAGCCTACTCAGAGGTGGGCCTTCAGGGTCCCTTGAGCCCTGCATTGAGTGATTCTTCGGGCCCACCACAGGGGATTGTGCACTTCTGACTTCCTGGGCTCGGGTTCTTTAAGGGTTCTTTAAGGGCCTCCTGTGCTTCCTCACACCCTGGCCCTTCACACCAGGACTGTTTTATGGTTTTATAACCTTCTTTAGAGCCTAACTTGCCAGAGTCCGATGGGGGCTATTCCCCAGTTTCTCACTTCACCAAACCCCAAGTCTTGCTGTTTTAAGCAGTTTGGTCACTTGCAAAGGCCTCTCTTTCAGATCTAAGCAAATTATAAAAACCTCTCTAGGCATGTGGCTATCTTCAACCTTCCCCAAGCCCCATCCACAACAATACAGAGGAAACTACGTGCTAATCCCAGCTGCCTCTCCACCCCCAAGGCCACCCAACCTCTCCGGAGCCATTCTTTCTCTCTTGAAACTTGAGCAAAATCGCAAATAATTCCCAACTTTTGTGATCAGCAAGTAAGGAGTGGCCTTTGGCTTTGCTATTTACCACATCTAAGGCTAGAAAATGATTGAAATAAAGGAGCTGATGGTACTCACAGCGAATGCAGCCAGAGTCATAAGACATGCCCACCAACCAGCCTTTTCCAAATAGCACTATCCCCCAATTTAAACAGCCTTCTCTGAAAAGATGCAAGCTGAAAAGCCTAGGGTATTGATATGACTATGACCTCTCTCGCATTCTGGATATTTGGAACTATTTAAATCCAAGGGAACAGTTGCAGGGAACCTTTATTTAGTGAATAAAAGTTTAAAGCCAAAGGTTATTTATGGTTCTGCAGGGAAGGGACCTGAGTGGCTATTTACAAGCACGTGATTCCAATAAACTTTGTTTTATGGCTTGAGAGTTGACAAGCCAAAATATAATTCCCACCATAAATTAGGTTAAGAGCGTACAAGTGCAGATGCTTCGTTCCTGGAGCAGCGATAGGAAAGTGAGAGGCTCCAGCCAGCGCCGTGCTCAGAAGACAGCCCTACTTGCAGCTACCCTACCCACCAGAAAGGAAAAAGAGTAAGTCACTCAGTTCCTTTTCCACAATAACTGGGGGGGAGGGGGGTTCTGAGCCTGGCCTTCTCTGCCCGAGGAAAGCATATCGGAGTTATTTCTAATTTTACCCTAAACCTACTTTAATAAATAGAATGGGGATCTTGGATTTCCCCCTCCCCCTCGGTATACGTGGGAAGTTAGAAATTGGGGGGGAGGCTTCGAGTCCAAAAGCAGGACCTACACTCTCCTGGCTGTAGTGGAGCAACTGCTTCAAAAGTAGAGTAAAACAATCATAGGGGTGCAGAGAGGGAGGGGATGAGTGTGGAGCGAGACAGCTCTGTGATATCTCAGAGCTCATTGCTTGCTGTTCCTAGAGGACTACAAACTTGAAGATGAATATCGATGCCTGGGGGGAACCACTGCCCTGTGTGATCGCTTCGTAGGTCCTTCAGCATCAAAGTTAGAAAATTAATATGAATTCCTAGAATTAGATCAGAGTCCAGACCATTCCTTTGAGGTCTAGATCAGTTACCTTTATAACCACACCGATTTTCCTTTCTAGCTATCCTTTGGGTCCTTCCTCCTCATTTCCCCTTGGAAGGAAATGACTCTGGTTGGAACTGGAGACCTGGAAAAGCATATTCCAGTCATGCCTGCTCCTTCTGTGATGAAGGTTTGTAGGCTGGGATGGGAATTGCTGTTTGGGATTGAGGAATTCAAAACCAACTTGAAACTGAAAAAAAAAAAAAAAAAAAAAAAAAAAAAAAAGGACTGAACTGGTCCCAGAGGGAGCAGACAGGGAACTGGGGTCGGGACAGCTAGAATATCTGCTGCCTCCCCGCTGAATCCGCACCACCAGCCTGCAGCAGAAGGAGATGCACCAAGGCCCATTTTCTCCGACTTCCTATTTCCCAGCTGGGGAAACCCTGCCTCCGGCGCTCTGAGTCAGGCCATATAACCATTAGGGTTTTGCCCAAGGGTACATAAAGTGAGGGAGGTGACCAGGGCAGACTCTTACACTCCCAGGCTCTGCCTTTGAGGATGCCACCCATCCGCGGAGAATTTTGAGCAGCTCCTGAAGGCAAGGAGTTCTAGGTATTACTGAAATGTCTGGGCCTTGTCACTTTTCTGCATGTCATCTATTTCTGCGTTATTTTCCGGTGGAATTTGAGTGACCCCGTTTTCTTTGCAACAGGTTCTGGAGCACAAGGGGGAACCAGGAAGAGCCAGTGTAAGTACTTGCCCATTTTTTTTTCCTTAGTAAAGAGCAAATGCTAAGGGAGGCGGTGGTGGTCGTGGTGGTCGAAGGTCCGCCCCAGTAGGAATGGGAGGGTGGCAGAACTGTGCTGCCCCCCTCCCCCTCCCAGGCAGAATGACGCTCCAGGTTGAATCTTTAGGAAACATTTCTGGGGCCTAGTTCACAGTCACCTGCCCAAGTAAATGCACCGCGGGAGCCCGTCCTGGTCTTCTTGGACCTCCTTGGACCTTCCAGGCCTTCCCCCGGGGGGTTCGAAGGCTTGCACAGGTGCAGCGGTCTTGCAGCTCATTAGCCATCTACCCTCTCAAGAAAGTGCTGGGAGCATCCTCCTCAACTGCTAGAATTGACACAGTAAACACCAAGGTACCCGGTCCCCTCCTGCAGTCCAACCTAAATTAAGCCTGCCCAGTCTAGCTCAGCTTTCCCTTGCTGTATATGTAATACATATGTTCAACTTTTAAAATCGATATATTGCAAACAGAAACAAATGTGGAACCCTTGATGCTTGTTGAGTTGCCTGCTTCCCTGAAAAGCTGCCCGGTCTGAGCTTAGGTAGTCATTCTTCTCGGTCTCTTTCTGGGTCTCAGCTCCTGCGGTGTGAGTTCTAGGTTTGGGGTAGCTGCTGAACAAGAAGAGTACTTGCTTTTTCTCTTTCACCTCTGCTTCTCCTTAGCTGCAGTTGAAGAATTTCTGCTCCAGAGTCCGGTGGGATTGGGTGGGGTCAGGAGCAGGGACTCCAGCCCTTGGGCTCTGAAGTTTGAATCTGAGGATGCTGGGACACCTTCAGGAGAACCTTCTCATTAGGACGGTGCTAACAGCAGGGAGGCAAGGGAATAGCAGTGGCTTGCAAACCCCAAGTGGTTTTATCTCATTGGAAGGGTGGACTGGCCAGGGCCACAGGGACCAGGCATCCTCCCTTTCCATGAGATGTCTTCCCTTCAGGGTCAGAGAAGCAGGGACTGGGCTCAGGGCCAGATGGCTTTGTTGGGCCCCTGGTGAGGCTGAGATCCCCCAGCTCATCGTCTCCTCTATGAAACAGGCCTGCACAAAGTGGACCTGGCTCTAGGCTCCATGATAAAAGTCTGGGATCCCCAGATTTCCCTTGGTCACCCCCTTCCCTTCCTGACACCCTTGGCTGTGGGTGCTTATCTCTACGAAGGCTGCTTGCTTGCCAACCCAAATCTGGCGCCTTGTAGCTGCTCACAGCACAAAAAGCCGGAGAGATCAAAAGCATTTGTATGGGCAGTTGAGTGGGAGGTGAATATTTAACGCTTTTGTTCATCAATAACTTGTTGGCTTTGACCTGTCTGAACAAGTCGAGCAATAAGGTGAAATGCAGGTCACAACGTCTAACAAATATGAAAATGTGTATACTCATCTCGGTCCCAGCTCAACCCATCGGGTTTCCCCAATTTGTCTGGATAAAGCTTAGGTAGGCCCAGGATCCCCCAGAAAAGACGTGGGTGAAAGGGCTTGACATTAGCGGAATCTGGGGTGGGGATGCCTTTAACCAAACAGGTTCTAGTCCTTTTTAGAATTGGCACCGGGGAAATCCCTTTAAAATAGTCAAAACAGTACAAGTGAAAGACGCGGTGGGAGTCAGAGGAAGAGGGAAGTGCGGAGTAAAAGTGAGCACCCAATTTTGCCAGTTTTGGTGAAGGGAGTCCCCTGCCCCATCCTATCAAACTAAGGCCAGGCTTGAGAGCGATTTTTGAATTACTGGGGAAGGAATCAAAACAATACTTAGAAATGTGGACATCTTCACCCTGCTATCAGGCATCCAAAAAACTCGGCTCAAACCAGGGCATCCCTCTGCCCCTGAAATCAGCCCAGCCCCAGAGTGCATCTGGGCTCTTGATGCCCTGAATTGAGGGGCAAGCCCAAGACAGCGGAGGCGCTGGGGCGGCGAAATTCGTGAACTTTTGTACTCTTCTGTGCTGCTGTCGGCAAAGCAAAAATAATGAAACTTTGTGATATGTTTGTAAATGATTTCGAATGACCCCTCGCCCTGCCCTTCACCATTAGCGCGACGGTCTCAGCCCAGGGCGACTCGGTGGCCGCAAACAGCGCCTGCCTCGGGGTCTGAAGCAGCAGCAGCAGCAGCAACAGCAGCAGCAGCAGCAGCAGCAACCGCAGCGGCCGCCGCAGCGGGATCCGAAAGTCCAGCGGGGCTGAGGGCCCAGGAAGGTAAATGCTTGAATTCTGGGAGGACTAGCTGTTGCCAAAAACTTGGCTCAGGAATTGGTGGAGAATATCCCCGCTTGCCTTTTTCAAAACTCCCTGCTGCTGAGGGCCTTTGCTTCGTTTTGGGAAATACCACTTGATAAGGGGGCGGGAGATTTGGATTCTGGAAGGGGGCAATAAAGCCTCTATCTCTGGGGTGAAAGAAAATTCCCTCTTTTTTTTTTCTTTTCCATTTTTAAGAAGCAGCTCCTGGTTGCTCAGTTGCTCCATAGCCCTGATCAAGGCAACAGAATAAGGGGACTCATTGCTGCAAATTGTCTCCGAGCCTACCTGAACTGTCTCTGAAAGCAGGGCTTGGGGAGTTTCTGGTGGCTGAGCTGAAGAGATCTAGGCTGGCGGCTGCCTGAGTGTCTGCTCTGGGTAGGACCCGAGGTTGTAACGTTGTCTATATATACCCTGTAGAACCGAATTTGTGTGGTACCCACATAGTCACAGATTCGATTCTAGGGGAATATATGGTCGATGCAAAAACTTCATATGTCTCCGACATAGCCAGAGACCGAGGCGCCGAGAATTGGGGCTGCCGAGCCGGTCAGCCACCTTTCTTTTTCATTACCTTGGATAACAGATGATCGACTTTGCCTGGTGACATTGTGCAGCCTTTTCTTGGAGAAGCCCTCACCTTTTATCAAGAGAGGTTCCAGGGGGTGCTTAAGGGGTTGTCTGAGTTTGAGGCCAAAGGGGCAGGTTTTAGGGTACTGGGGAGTGAGGTGAAAGGCCAGCAAGCTCCTGCAGCAGCTGTTCCTTCAGGAGCATATCGAGATGTGACGGTCCCCAAATGGGGCTCACCTGGTTTTAGGATCCTTGTGTGGGAAGAAGACAGTCTGGAAAGAAGGCCATTGGAGACCTTTGGGGTAACATTTAGATAAAGTTAAGGTCCCCCTCATCACCATCCCAACCTGACCCAATCCACAGCTACCAGATCCAGGACAGTTGAAGGGCCTCCTGACATTTCAGCAAGCCCCAACTTCAACTAGAAACACCCCAGCCTGGACTTGGGCAGAAAACCATAGCGGTTACTCATTGCCTAACTCAATTCAGATCTGCCAGATACTGGTAACTTTTGGGTGACCCTGATGAAAACAAAGCCAGGACAGGTCTTTGTATGTCAGAGTCCAGAACTCCCGCCAGCTGGCCAGGCAGGCTGCCTGCCTGGGACACTCTCTACCCAACTCAGAGGCCACATTGCCCACACTCATTCTTCCTTATTTCGCACCCCAATAGGAGAATTCGCTCTTCTTGGAACTGTGCCCACTTCGGGGACAGCTTCAGGCGATGGTGGTGAGGAGGGCATGGGAGGTTAGCAAAGTCGGTGAGACAAAAGCCGGGGTAACCTGCTGAGAACAGGGGTACTGGGGATAGAATTGGAACTATATTAACATCTGTCAGGGACTCTCAAATGTGGCATGGCAAGTCACTTGATTACACGTATGTTATTTAGTTAAATTTGTTAAAATTATGAGATGCTCACAAACCCGGTGATAAACTCGCTCCCTTCCTATTGGCTGGCCTGGTCACATGGCCGCCCAACTTTATTCAGTTGACAGCAAGTAGGAGGGCCCAATGGAAGAAGAAAAAAAGACAACACGAGAAAAATTAGTATTTTCTACCTTCTGAAATTAATGGCCATGAGTTCGTATATGGTGAACTCTAAGTACGTGGACCCCAAGTTTCCTCCGTGCGAGGAATATTTGCAGGGTGGCTATCTAGGCGAGCAGGGAACCGACTACTACGGCAGCGGCGCACAGGGCGCCGACTTCCAACCCTCGGGGCTCTACCCACGGCCCGACTTCGGTGAGCAGCCCTTCGGAGGCGGCGGGCAGGGGCCTGGCTCAGCGCTACCGCCGCGGGGTCACGGACAGGAGCCGAGTGGCCCAGGAAGTCACTACGGTGCCCCGGGAGAGCCGTGCCCAGCGCCCCCGCCTGCGCCCCTGCCTGGCGCCCGGGCCTGCAGCCAGCCCACCGGCCCCAAGCAGCCGCCCCCGGGGACAGCCCTCAAACAGCCGGCTGTGGTCTACCCCTGGATGAAGAAGGTGCACGTGAATTCGGGTAAGGAGCGGGTGTAGGGACCTTTCAACCCTCCCCCACCTCTACTCGCATCTTTTGGCCTGGGCCCCCTGGAGGGGGTGCGAGTGGGTGGGGGCTTGTGAAGCTTCCTTGGGCGCCACAATTACTCTCTCCATAAATTTTTATAGCTGAGGGAGCAGGCCGGGACCATGTGGCTGGCTGCTTGGCTGTGGGCGCAAAAGGGGGTGGGGATGGGGGTGGGGTGGGGAGGACTCCATTTCCACAGCAGAGGGAACGCAGAGCAGGGACAAGGGCATTTCCAAAATATTGGAGATCCTGAGCCCTTGGTGGGCCAGGGAGAAGGGAGCATCTTTGAGGTTATGTGAGCCTGGGGAGTGGGTGCGTGAAAGGGGTTGGGTGGGAGTGTGTGTGTTCTTAGGGAGAGGGCGGGAGGGAGGAAACAGGCAAGCTTGGAGCACGGGGAGGGCCGAGGGCTGCAGGACGCGCCAGGAAGTGAGGGCAGAGGCAAGCCAGGGGCCTAACTAGTGGCCGGGCTCTGACCTGGCTGTCCTGTCTGTTTTATCTCACAGTGAACCCCAACTACACCGGCGGGGAGCCCAAGCGTTCCCGGACAGCCTACACCAGACAGCAAGTCCTAGAACTGGAAAAGGAATTTCATTTTAACAGGTATCTGACCAGACGCCGTCGGATTGAAATCGCTCACACCCTGTGTCTGTCAGAGCGCCAGATCAAGATCTGGTTCCAGAACCGGAGGATGAAGTGGAAAAAAGACCACAAACTGCCCAACACCAAGGGCAGGTCTTCTTCTTCCTCATCTTCTTGCTCCTCCTCTTCAGCTGCCCCCGGCCAGCATTTGCAGCCCATGGCCAAGGACCACCACACGGACCTGACGACCCTATAGAAGTGGGGACCCTGGGCTCATCCCTCCCTGCACTCCAGGTTGAGGCGAAGCTGCGGGTGCAGGCGGGGCCTGCTGTCACCTCACTGGGCTCTAAGGTACTGTGGGGGTGGACCTGGGATTTGCAGGCCGCTCTCGGACTAGGTTACCATCCTGCCCGAGGGCAGCCCCCTCCCTAAAGGGATGGGGTGGGAGGGTGGGCGGGCTTCTTTAAGTATATTATCATATGGCAGGAGCTACTGAGAACATAAAACCTTGGCGAGTCATTAAACTCATGAAAACCTCTGCTGTTGGATGTTGAATTTGCAAATGAAGGTCGGAGGCTTACTCCAGTGGGAACCTGGACATTCTCCTCCACACCACCCCTCCAGGGGGCTGCGTGGCTTAGTAGCTGTGGGGGCAGTTGAGGCAGAAGGCCAGCACCCAGTGCTAGGTGCTTTCAGTGTGGACAGAAGAGATGAGAGAGAATCTCAGAACTTTCTGAGTTATCTATAGAATTTCTGCTGTGATAAAAAGAAATGCTTTGCTCCCAGTGGCCCAGGCCCAAAGAAATAAATCCAAGAAGGAAGTGGAAACGGGTTATTTTATGTTCTGATTATGTTTGCTTAAATATTTATTTGTTGGGAGAATGAACTACAGAAAATCCGTGGCACCTGTGTGCCAACAACCTTAGGCTAGTGAAAAGGATCGAGCTTCAGGGGCTGAATCAGAAATCTGGGGACTCACTTCTGGCCCTAGTCGGGATTTTGAACTCCTCCCTCCCACCCATCCCCTGGAAATAAGTGTAGGAGGCCCTTAACCCTCCCAGAGGGAAGCCAAGGACCCAGGAAAACTGAGCTTTGAAAATGTATTTCCACATGTGCTTGCTCCAGCACTGTGTTTGCAAGGTGGTTCAAAGAAAGAGAAGGGGGAAAAAAAGAAACAAATGGCTCAATATTTTTCTCCTGGGAAAGAAAACAAAACCTATATGCCCTGGGCCATCAGCTAATCTCTGAGTTTTCTATTCCAACTGGATTCCAAATGCTCCAAGTACCTCCAGATAGCAGGATTTTTATAGGAATCAGAATCAGTGTATGGCCTATGGGGGGTGGGGGTGGCCCTGTGCAGTAAGGAGAAAAAGGGTAGGTAAGGGAGGAAGTCTTGTTTTTAAAAAAGGAACTAATAGACTCTGGAAGTCCACAAGTGTTGATCTTAAAGAGATTTCCCTGAGGTGTGTGTGTGTGTGTGTGTGTTCTGAAGTGTTTCTCAAGACATTACTTACAAGCAGAAACTGTAAAAGTCTCAAAGTTTTCAGGCCCACTTCTTTACCTTGAAACCAGTGGCTTTAAAACAAGCTCAAACAACAGGAAAGATAGTTATTTATTTACTTTTATTTCACGTCTGGGAAGAGTTCAAATCTCATTTTCTTAAAACACTAACCCTTAACAACAAGAAAGATAAGAGTCAAAGGTGATGATAGAGTTTATACACTCAAATGAAGGGAGGTTTTGAAAGCTTGAGCCCCAAAGCTTGGGCTTCAGACAGAAACCCCTGACTGCAGTCTCCCCAGACCCAAGTAAGAAATTGGGAGGGGTAAACTTAAATTTTAATCATAAGATCAATAGTGCTGTTACTTTTTTCAGTATTTCAGAATACTTTAGAAGGTTTCGGTGGTTGTTTTTAAAATAGATTTCAGTGGAGGAGGGAAAGGCCTGGGCTTTGGTTCTGTGTCTCCCGAGAGAGAGCTGAGGGCAAGGATTCAACTGGAGTCCCTAAACTGAAATTCTGCTTCTCTGAAGTATCTTCCAAGCCTTGGTCTTTTGTATTAGACCCTGGGGAAAGCTCTTTGTTCCTCCTTGGGGTGAGCCTGGTTCTCAGACTTGCACATGGCAATACTTGAATATCACCACGTCGGGATATTAAAGATGGATATTCCTGCATTATTTGCATCATTGTCTCTATGACAAAAAGCACAGAGTTCATACATAGTCAAGATGTCTTTTTTCTGACGCCCTCACGTTGAGAAGCTGAAAAGGTATTTTACTGAAGTTGGGCTAAATTACAGAATCAGGTTCATCCAGAGGGCAAATTTTCTGTTCGATTGGTTGTATTTCAGCCGGGAGGACTGACCTCTAAACCCTTAACCTTTGGACTGTAACTACCCTTCTCTTCTTTTCCCTGCCCCTCTAACATGGAGACAGTCTTTGGATGCTGCGTCTGAAAAGGGCACAGCTAGCTATCCTTGGGCCGATTGGCAAGTTGCTAAGATTCTTTCCTAAAAGCCAAATCTGAGCATACATTGAACCAAGGCCTTGGGGCGGAGTAGTATATATTTTCACAAGATTCAACCATCTATACTTGCTATAAAGATTATTATATAGATTTTTTCCCCCTCTCCTTGGAAGTCCTGGTTACTCCTCTAGCTTCAGACCAAATACTACCCCTCCTTCCTCCTGCCCCAAGGGAAAGCCAAAAGTATGTTTTCCAGAAGAAAACCCTGGTTCCTTCTCAAACACAGCCCCACTACTTTGGAAAGTAACTTAATCCGGGGAAACAACTTCTTTGTTTTTAAGTCTCAGCTCTACTACTCAGCTGGGAGGAATTGTCTTTTGAAATGCTAATGGCTCTTGCCTGGCCTAAAGAGCAGTTGCCAGTCCTGAAGTCCCATTCGAACCCTAGTGTCCATTTGGGCCCAAAGGAGTGGACCAGGAAAGGGGTAGCCCCCGCACTCCCCCCCACCCTGGTCACCTAGGGCAGGGAAGGAACTGCGTTTCCATCTGGGAACTGCTGTAGAGAAAGCAAGGGGTAGAAAGACTCTGGTGCCCATTTGCCGTTATTTGTTTCCAGTTTGTTCCCCCAAATATGAGCCAGAAGTGTTTATTTGGGTGTTTTAAAACCTGTGTCGGGGTTGGTGACTGGGGCTGAGGAGCGGAGCGTTTGCTGAGGACAGTGGGCCTCTGGCTCACACCTCATTCTGTCCATGGCAGCCTTTTGTTGAGAGGTGACATTGTCAGTCAGCCCCTTGGAGTCCACTCACAAAGATGCTTTTTAAAAATATAATTGACCATGTTTTACTGCCACCGATTAAAGTATTATTTATATTAATTGTTGCCTGTAGTTTTGATGTAATTCATTGATCTATATTTGAAATAATAAAAGGTGTAGTAAAATCTCCCTCCTGTTTGGTGCCTTGATAGAGACTCTTTGTTAAGTTTCCTAAAAGCCAGCATTCATTATAAACAATTTATCTTTTTATTTTCTGCAATAAAATTGACACCAAGTTATTTGGTGCCTATGGTGTGAAAGTGGAAAGTCGTGTAAGGTCTAGCAATTCTACATTTCCGTCCACTCCCAGTCTGACTTCTGTACTTTGTGAGCATTGGAAAGCCTGATGCAGGCTGCAAGGTGGAGGGCATTATTTGTTGAAAGAAAGAGAAGCAACTGCTTGAACTACTAGGGGCTCCAAATAGGCTTTCTGTCCGGCCAGTTCTTAGGACCCCCCCCCCAGGAAGTTTTCCTTGTGTGAGAAACCTTCCCACTCTCCAGAGGCTGGGTGAGTGCTTGTTCTGGGCCCAACTGAGGCTGGCTGGCTGGTGGTTGCTGTCTAGCCCCCCATCTTGGACTCCTACTTTTCTGGGGCTGCTGAACCTCTCTGGGGTTACCAACACCTGCTCCCCTTCCCTGCATCCTCCTGGCCCCTCAAACAACAATAAGCACTCTCTAGTATAAAAAGTACCATGCACTATTTTTATCACAAGGGCTTTCCCACATCTTGGCCTCAGCTTTGAAGAGGGGGCCAAGACAGGAGTTCCAGAAGAGATAGAGGGTGTCTTGCTGGAGATAGAAAATGAGTAGAATACATAAAATAGAACATATGTCCTTAATATATGGAAGGGCTCGACCCAGACGCGTGGACATGTGTATTTATAAGTGCGCAGACAGAAGTTTAAATATTCAGACACATTTTATGATTGTCCTCTGCCCGTCTTCTGGCTAATGGCTCCTCCTGTGCCCACAAATACATCAATACCGCTGTGTGTATTGAATCACCGGCAGGGATGAGGAGGAAGCGAGTCCATAGCTGAGCCCGCTGAGTACAGTACAGTAACTCGGACCCTCGGCAGACGGCGCCATGTTGGGGAGCCCTCCCTGCCCCCCACGCCGGGCTGGGCGGCCGGGGCTCGGCAGCAGCCGGGGGAGGGCCGCTCATAACCCGGAGAATTTTCAAAGTGCGAGGAAGATGATAAGAATAGATTTCTACAAGTCGCGACCACGTGATTGGCGAAATAATTAATTCAGCACGTCCCTTAAGAAACACGGAGTCGTCATTAATCTGCCACGCAAAGGGCTCTCTCCGACTTGGAAAGTGCAGGGATCCCGAGAACACGGCCCGCCGAGGGGGGTCCCCCCCGCGCCCGCAGACCCGGCCCCGCGGCGGGCGCTAAGCGCGGCCCGCAGGTAAATATTTGGGCTACTTTTATTTCATCAGATTTCAATCCTTAATGAACTTAGCTGTCAGAGCCGCTGACTAATAGTTGCCGTTGCTTCCCTGGTTTGGAACCGCGCGCTGGCCAGAAGTTGTTAGTGGCTTGGATTGTGACCTTTGGTTCAGCGAAGCTTTGCACTTATGAAAAATTACTATGGGCGGCCGAGTGTGTGTGTGTGTGTGTGTGTGTGTGTGAGAGAGAGAGAGAGAGAGAGAGAGAGAGAGAGAGAGAGAGAGAGAGAGAGAGGATGAGGATGCAGAGGGTGTGCGAGGGGTGAGGGTGCAGGGGGTGAGGGTGCGCGCAGCATGCTCCCCAGACAACTGGAGTTTAAAGAAAAAAAATCCCGTCGAGCTGGGGACACTCCTGGCGCACGCGGGCCGAGGTTGCCAGGTCGCCTGTGTCTACCGGGAACAATGGTCGCTGTCACCGCATCTGCCGCCTATTCTTAAACCAGCGAGAAAAGGCCCTGGCCCTCTTTTCAAGCGAGGCTCGTAAATTTTTCTTTGCGTCATAATAGAAGGCTATAAAATCGAGTTGAAATTTTACCCCAGGCAGATTTTAACCAACAGATAATGATTCCAAGCTACTTCTCTCGTTCTCTGCCTTCCCCACCCCTAGCTCAGCGGCTCATCGCTCCAGCGAGCAGTTTCTCCTTGCTTCCTCTTTAGTTTCGGATTTGTAATTTTTTTTTGAATGTCTAACAAAAGGAAAAGAAGCCCTCCAAGTCGGAGCAACCAAAGCAAGGGGAAGCCTTCGAGAAAGGCGCAAGGCTGTGGTGAGCCGCAAAAGCGACAGTGTCTCTTGCTCACTTTTTCAGTCTTTTTTCACCCCCCCCCTCCAAGATTTGACATCCTGAAGGCGGCTGTGCTTCGGTCCAACCCCACCCCAGCTAGCCACGGCCCTGAGATGGGGGCCAGTACCAAACATTCTCTTCTTTTAGCTGCAGGCTCTGACCCGGGATTCTCAATGGACAGTCCTTTCGTTCACTGCCCCCACCCCCAACATCCGTGCCTCCACTGACTTTGAGGAGAATTCAGAGAGCAGGCCGTGTGTGATTAGAGTTTAGAGTTGTGTGTATGTTTGTTTTAAATTTTTGATGTGTGTGTGTGTGTATTTCTCCGTCAGGACAGCAACAAAGTTTTCCCCGTTATGAATTATACATTCAAACAATAACACATTAATTCAATTATTCAAAGATGACAAATGTTTATGTGCTTAGCAAGTGACTCCTGCACTCAGATTCCGGGTGCTTTCTCTGCTTGCGTTTTTTTCTCAATGAGAATGTCTCCCCGCTCACCCCACCCACTTCGATCCACTCAGACATCCCCTGGTATCTTCGGAAAGGAACCCACAAAAAGGCTTCCCAGTCTCACTAGAGGTCGGGCCTCCAACAGCCTCCCAAGGCCCGGCTTGGCGGGCACAGGCCCGGCTGTTTTATCAGTGTGACAATTGCCCGGGTTGGTGTGATAAATCATAGTAAGTAATTCCTGAAAGGGTGTGAGGCTGTTGGGGGCCGGGCGAGGACTGTAAATCTTTCCGGTTTATTGCTCTATGAACATATGCTCCGATTGAAGAAGGCTTAGATCCTTTCCTGGAGACGAATTCCCGCAAAGCAGCCCACCCCCCCTTTGACTGGGGAATTAACACTTGCAGTCCGCAGCGAGCTCAACCCCTGGCTGGAGGCCTGAGGGCGGGGTCCTCAGAATGGGGGTGGAGTGGGGTTAGCCTAAGGTCCATTATGACAGGCACCCCAAGTGGGTCTGAGCCCTGGCCGGGACAGGTGAACAAAAGGAGGGGACTCCCTGTTAAGTTTGGGAGAAGGATCTAGTGACCCTTTCTTTGGAACCTGCCGGGTCCTCTAGATTGGGGTTTCAAAACCTTTTTTCTTTCCCTGGAGCTCTTATATCGCTTTGGGGTTCACTTTGCCTCTTAAGAGGCCATACAAGCCATGGGACATCAACTTCTTGGCAGAGCCGCTAAGAAACTGAGAAAGCCAAATTCGGGAGGGAGTTTCCCATCATATGGGGTTCTAGGGTGAAGGCGGCCTGACCAGAGGTTAGACAGGGGCTCTCTACAACCCAGGAGTGAGCCTTGACCGAGATTCGAGATTCGCTTAACTCTTCTTCCTGCATGCAGAATATCTGCGGCCAATCTCATCTAGTCGCTTGCAGAGTGGTGAGATCGTGTTCTGATACAGTAATTCTAAAATAGAAATCTCGTTATCCCCAGGTAAGCCCAATTCAGTAGGTCCCCTTGTCCTCTTGGAGTTACCGCAGGAAGCGGGAAGCTGCCCGGCTGTTGTTGGGCCTGCGGGATCCCGTTGGCTCTGAGCAGTTCCGGAATCACACAGGATCCTGTCGGCTCTGAGCAGATCTGGACTCACACAGATCAAGGTGGGCAGGAATTCCTCGCCTAGGTGACTCCAGACCCCAAAACACTTGGGTGTAGTGCTCAGAGCGCCAAGAAAAGAGGTCACGCCAGGGCATGCCCCGCTGCTAGGCAATTTTTTTTCTTCTGGTTTAGTAGCGGCAGTTTGCCTGCTGGGTCCGCGAACCCCAGCCAGCGCCCCCAAGGAGTGGCGGGGGTGCCAGAACTGAGAACCAGCGGGTCCTACCTTAAGGCAGGAACGGGTGCTGTGAGACTTAAGTGCCTGGCGGGGAGTGAGGAAAGCAGACAGACAGCAGCCTGGGGGACGGGCAGGACATCTTGTCTAGGTGCGTGCAGATATGGAGTATAGAACGTTGAGGAGCTAGGGAAGCCCCGAATTTCTTTTTTCATAGTCCTTTCCACAAAGGCTTCTAAGAGGAAACCTCTAAAATGTCCAATCCACTGGTAGGTCTGGCAGAAGGCCGGGCCAGGGTCAGAGGTCTTTGCCTGGAGAGACTCTCAAGTCCTCACCCCACTGCAGTCGGCCAGGCTGTGGCTGCGCTGATCCCAAGCTGCGAGGATGGAGGCTTTCCTTCACTCCTCCACCAGGGTCTCGCCCCAGGGAAGGCTCCTGGGTCCCAAGCTTCCTGCGCCCCTCCTCCCAGCCCCCAGGCCTGGCTGCGCTCTTGGGCTGGGATGGCGTGAAAGTTTCAGCCTCAATCAGTACAATCTTCCCTCGGGGTCACGTGAACAAATATGCTCGCATTTGAAGGCAGCGTCTGTATTTCCCGACTATGAGGGGGTTTCCGGGGCTCTCTCCAAATTCAGAAAGGACCACGTTCCGAAAGCAAAACAAATCCCGAGCTCTGGGGGGCCTGGGAGGGCTGGGCAGGAACCCAGGAGTGGGTGGGGGAGCAAGTGGCCTCCGCTCCGGGCCTGGGAGCGGACCGGCGGGCGGGTGGACCGACCAGCGAGCAGCGCAGGCGAAGCCAGCTTGGGGACTACAAACTCGTTCCTCCAGCGTTTATTGGTAGTTGAACCTCAGCCTGGTTCCGTTCTACCGGGAATTCCGTGTGTTCGGGTATATGGCCGAGTCTGCAAGCGCACAAGACCAGGGTTGGGACACTGCTGTCTGCAGACAAAGGGGGAAGGCTAGCTCTGCCCCCCACTGGCGCCCACTCTGAGACCGAGGACACCAGGTTTATGATAAATTGGGATCCAGGTAAGCAATTGCATGACAAAATGGAAATCTTTGGGCACGGTGCTGTTTGCTGCCCTGAGCGGGATACTAAATATGATTTATTTTGTGTAATCTGTGAT